TACAAATGAACATGGACTGACAGGGTTGCCCCCCAAGTCTCTCTGGCTCCCCAGACTGCTGCTCCCCTGCCCAGGGCGGCCCCATGACTTATATAATCTTCCCAAACAGTGCTGCACTGACAAAATCATAAGTGGGAACTGTCATATGCAGTTTCTCATCTTGTTCTTTCTTAAAAGTCAAATGCTGTATTTTGGAGGTTGCTCCATCCCAGCTTATATCAAATCTACATCATTCTTTCTTGTGGCTGTTAGCACATTCTGTTATCCAAAAGTTTCATTTTATCAGGTTCCTGTCCCCTGACCCCAGAAGGCACTCTGTCATTCACTCATCCAGGATCTACTGAAACACACTTGCCATCTTGTATGAGTATGTGCTAAGTCGTAAGGCTTGTAGGCGTAAAGGGCAGGCTCCAGAGTCAAAACTGCCTGTGTAGGGGCCGGGGATTTAGCTCAGTGGTTTCGCCGCCTGCTGCGCAAGCGCAAGGACCCAAGTTCGATCCCTGGTACCAAAAAAAAAAAAAAACTGCCTGTGTTTCTATCTTGGCACTGGCCCTTGCTTACTGAGCTACTTGATGCCACTTACTTACCCTCTCTGTGCCTTAGCTTTCTCATCTCCAGTACAGCGAACCATCCTTATTGCACAGCATTGGCTAAGTACTCGGCAACAAAATAAATCTAGCCCCTGAGTATCTGGACTGAGACTATTACTTTTCTCAGGGCAGAGAGCTGGGCTTCAGGGGGGCTAATGTGCATCCATAAGGTTAAAGAGGGCTTCTCCCGTCAGGATGAATTATAGGATGGTAATCTTAGCTGCTACATACAAGGAGTCTGTATGTTTGTGTGGGGTTTAGGAGGAAGGGCCCATTCCCAGATCGTTTACTATGACTGCTTAGAAACATGTTAGCTCTTTCTCATCCCTCAGGAGGTCACTACAGAAACTGTTCCCAAAGGAAGTGTCACACAGTTACTGCTTCTTCTGTAGCCTGCTGCTTCCCCCCTCTGTCTTCCCTTTATGGAGAACGTGGGTGGCTGGAAAAAATGGGGGGGGGGCGGTTCTTACTTTCTTGGAAACTTTTTTTCTCTTTCTATTTTTTTTGTTGTTGTTGTTAATGTGCTTTTTAAAACTGATGGAAAATAACACTCACAAGCTAACAGATAAGACCATTCCCTCTGCTTTGATCTTTCTGAGCCAATCTTTGTATTTACATAATGCAAAATACTTCCCAGTACACTCAAGGAGAGAGCTGTCTGTAAAGATGATCAAAGAACTTTCTCTGCCTGGTGCTGACTCCTGATGCTGCAAGCCTGAGCTCAGCTACCTCACAGAGATATAGAATGAACTACTTCACTGATCTCAGAGTAAAAGCTCCTCCATGCATGCCAATCCCTCGTGTACTTGAACAACTCACCATTCCCATACAGCAGAGGATTTACAATATTTACAGTGTATGCTTTCTTTTAAAAATGTGGTATATGTGTCACTATCTTCTCCTGGCCCTCGGAAGTGAAGTATGAACACGTCTGTCACCTTTCCTGAAAACTAAGAATTCTTGAAAACAACTAACTCATAGAATCTGTGGGAAAAGACCCAAAGTGCTAAGTATGGACATGTTTCAAAGAAGGATTTCTGTAAGGGAAAAAATGCTCTTCTTGTTGACCTGGGCGGGGGCTACATCTTTGTGCAGAGTGGGAGCCAGAAGTCACTGGTCACTTGGAGTTCCTTGCACCTTCCCCACAACGTCCCTGGTTTGGGGCACTGTTTATTACCTCATGCTGTGGGTAGTGACTTTATGGTATGATTTATCCTTCCAAAGAAATAATGACATTTAAGGCTATTTGGATGGAAACTATTATGACCTCTATTTCCCTACCCATTAGCTACTTTTTTTTTTTTTTTTGAGACAAGGTCTCACTATGTAGTTCAGGCTGGCTTCGAACTCAGTGATCCTCCTGCCTCTGCCTCCCGAGTGCTGGGATTACAGTCGTGCACCACCACACCCACACCCATTAGCTACATTTTTAAAGGGTATCGCTGTGTTGCCCAGGGTGGACTCAAACTCATGGACTTGTGATCCTCCTGCCTCAGTCTCCGAAATAACTGGGACTATAGCCATGTGCCGCTACACTCAGTCTTCAGCTACAAATTTTAGTTTCAGAAGTATAAAAGTTTAGAAAGAGGGAAGATCGTGATACCCAAAACAAGGAGAAAGAAGGATTGGACCATAGTGTGGCTGAGTCCTGTTTTGGGAAAGAGGGAGGACAGCAGAAAGGGGAGAAACAGCCTCAATGGCAGGAGGCTCCAGGCCAAGTGTGGAACCAAGAATGCATCAGAGAAGCCTCGCAAGGGGCAGAAATGCTCAGGCCCTACCACTGACTGGGTTTGCAAGGAGATGTGGGCAGAGCCTGCGACCCAGCCTGAGCCGGACACGGTAGTGGATGCTTCACTTGGCCCCAGTGGCGATATTCTAAGTAAAATCTGCCTGCTATGCTGGTCTCCACCACACCCACTGTCACACTTCGCCTGTCTCACATAAATGTTTATTGCCCAGCCTCTACAGTCATTTGAGTTCACTGTTCCTGCCCAGGGAAATTCTTTTTCGATTTAAATTTGATTGTGAGTACACTCATGGTGGGGAGTTGGTTCATGCATATAACACATCTTAATTCTTTTTATTTCCCTTTCCCCTCCTCTCCCTCCTCTGTCCCTCCCTCCCTTCATCTTCTGGTCCCCTTCTCATTTGCAAAATATCTATCTTCCTGCTTGCTATTATCCATCTTTTATTTTGGTCTTTTATGTATACATTGGATTTCTCATAAAAGAAAAACCATGTGATATTTAAGCTTGTGTGATTTATTTCACTTAACACTATGGTCTCAAGGTGCATCGATTTTTCTACACCTCACTCAAATTTATATTTCTTTATAGCAGAGTAATATTCCATTGTGTATAAAACACCACATTTTTAATCCATTCATTTGTTGATGGACATTAAGGCCACTTCTAAGATTTAACTATTATAAGTTGTACTGCTATGAATATGGACATGCATGTATCACTGTAATATAATACCTTAAACTCTTTTGGGAAGATACCCAAGGGAAGGGAATGAGCTGGGTTTGATGGAATTTCTGATTTTTGAGGAATCACCTTACTGATTTCCTGTAGTTGGACTAGTTTATACTCCCCAGGGTTCCTTTATCCCCACAGTTTCGCCAGCATTTGTTATTATTTGATTTATTGCTGATAGAATCTCAGTGTTGCTTTAATTTGAATTTCTTGAATGGCCAGAGATGTTGGATATTAGCCATTTGTGCTTCTTCTGAGAAGTGTGTATTCATCTCAGTTTCTTGCTTTTTAATTAGGTCTTTAGTTTGGGGGGCTATAATTTTTTGAGATCTTTATATATTCTAGATATTAGTCCTCTGTTTGAGGAATACCTGGCCAGAAAAAAAAAAAGTTTTCCCATCCTGTAGGTTATCTCTTCACTCTTGGTTTCGTATTTTTGTTTTTGTTTTTTGTTTGTTTTTTTGCTGGGCAGAAGGTTTTATTTCAATATGATTCTATTTGTTGATTCTTGATGTTGTGTCTTAAGCAATTAGAGCTCTATTTAGAGAGTCCTTGTCTATGTCTGTGTCTTCAGGAGTTTCCCTACTTTATCTTCCAGCAGACTGTTTCTGCTTTAATATCTCGGTCTTTGAGTCATTTCACTTTTATTTTCCTACAGTTGAGAGATGTGAGTCTAAATCCATTTTTCTGCATGTGGATATCCAGTTTTCCTAGCACCATTTGTTAAAAAGGTTGCCTTTCCTCCAGCATTTGGAGATTCTACTAGCCTGACCTGTGTTCAGACTTAAGAGTTAGCACATTAGAGTAGAAAACCGAGTGGGCTTGGGGTGGGCGGTGGTTGTGCATCCCTGCTCTCTACCTGGTGCCTGGGGCCTTGGGTGGTTGCTCACTTACCTCTCCTAGTCCCAGGGGCCGCAAAGCTCTAAAATGAGACCAGCAGAGGAACCTGTGTTCAGCCTCCCTCCTGCCAACCCCATCCCAGCTCTGATAGTGTCTGCAGCTTTGACCCTTCAAGTAACAGAAGGGATCAAAAGGGAAGACAGAGCTGAGAGGCAGGCAGGGGCCTGGGAGAAGCCAGCAGTCACTGAGGAACTGTGCCCATGTGGCCTGGAGAACAGATTCCCAACCCAGGACCTGGGATGGTGGAGTCTTATTAAAGGCCATGCGGGCAGCTTTGCGATGCACACCACTGAGCTGGCTCTGCTCCAAACTAGAACTGCTGGAGCCAGATGTGGCCATGCCCACCTGTAATCCCAGCACTCGGGGGGCTGAGGCAGGAGGATCATCACAAGTTCAAGGCAGCCTGGACTACATAGTGTATTCAATGCCAGCCTGAAAATTAAAAACATTTTTAAAAAGAACTAGAACTGCTGGAGATGCTGGCTCTTCATGCCACCACCAGAGACAGAAAGGGTGCAGACCAGTCAGCTCTGCATCTACTTTTTCCAGGCCACCCAGAGTGGGTCCTCCTGCTTCTGCGGCAGTTCCATTCCCAACTTTTCTCAAGGTTTGCCCCAGCTGGCTTCAGCTCTTTCCTGCCCTCCCTACAGCCATGGGATGAGGCACCGCCCATCTGCACAAGACTTTGGCTTTGATTAATGCTCTGGCTCCATATTTGCTCTATACAACCCCCTTTCCACTCACCCACCAGATATAAATACCAGCAACTGCAAAAATCCACGCCCAGGTCCCTTTTTCATCTGTCCCCAGGCAGCCTGGCCACGTCTCGGTTCCCCAGCACCCCCCACACACACACCCCCTTTCTTCCTCTCCCTGTTCTTCATCTGACCCACTCCTCCCCACCCCCACAGAAGTTTCCAGAGCCACTTTTTCGGGGAAACTTTCCCTACATCCTCACTCACCACTACTTCCCAAGTGCACTCATGCCTCTCATGACTTCCTGCTCTTAAGAGAAGTAGAAAGACCATATGGATTCTAGGAATCAACGGGAGTTTATCCCTTCTGAGATCAGGAACTGTTTTGCTCACCATGGTGTCCTCATCGACAGATGGGAAGATCACAAATGCTCTAAACATACAATATTGGTATATTTAATGGATGGACGGATGGATGGATGGATGGATGGATAGCTTTCTGGACTTCTTCAGTTCATCCAGTTGAGCAGAGATTAGCACACAGCACTGCATCCCAGATGCCTGAGATCTCGCGAAGATGTTATACTGATTCTTGTCTTTTTCCCCAAAGCCCCACCCCTCCCTCCTTCAGAGACACATTTTTCTTCCCCTCTCCTGGTTGGTGTATGAAGATGGGCCTGTGGGGAAGATGTCCTTTTTGGAAAGTGATTAAGAACCTTTCTTCCATTGTATTTGGAGTCTAGCAGCCTGTGTGCCTGTGAGGAACAAAAATATAAGTGTATTTCCGCTGTGTTTCTGAAATAGCTACACAAATGTGGGTTCCTCAGCAGTGGCCTCGATGGCTCCCCTCTGTTATCTGTGAGGAGCTGGGGACAGTGCCCGGCGAACGGGTGTGCAGGGAGAGTTTGCTGCTGCTCTGACGCCTCTGCAGGGGACTCGAGCTGAGACTTGAAAGCCGAGGAGCCAGTCATGCAAAGATCTGGTAGCTGAGTGTTCCGGGCCAAAGGAACAGCAAGGAGGAGGTTATAGGGTGGAAGCGTTCTGGAAAAATCAGAACAGTGTGTTGGAAGGGGAAGCAGCAGACTAGAAGCCTGGTGGTGCAGGGCCTTGAAATGATGCTAGAGTTTAGGTTTTGTTTAAGTGTGGTCCAAAGCAATTAGAGGTTTTTAAACAAGAAACCAAATGATCAGATTTATGTGTCTAGAATATTCTGCCCGAGGACTGCAGAACAGTTTGTAAGGGGAAAGGGGAAGAATGGTATGAAGAGACCACTTAGAGTCCAAGTGACCTTAGACAAGTGATTGGATCTCTCTGACCCTCAGTTTCCTCATCTGTAAAGTGGGAATAAGAAAGCCTTCCTTGGAAGGTTCTAAGAATTCATGATGTAATGATATCAGCACATCCAACATACAATAGCTCCCCGTTTAGTATAGTTCACTGTTTTCTCTCCTTTCTACATGAAAATGACCCCCCAGAATTCCCACAAGTGCTTTATTCTTCTGTAGAAAACTTTGATGGTCTTGGTTATTAATGAATCGTGGTGTCCAGACACGTGCCCTGCTGCCTATAAGGAAGTGTCACATATATGTGTGGTGGTGACACTTGAAGGTTTGTTTTCCTCTGCTAGAAGTTCACATTCTGGGAAGACATAGCAGCTGCCGTGCAGGCAGAAGCCTGTAAGTGAGCCACACATGAGACTGCTGCTGTCCACTGTGGACGTCTGTGGGTGCCCGGTGGAGTAGGTGACCACAAAAGCCATTGTTCTCTGGGAGCGGGGGAAACCTCTGCTTTTCACAGTGGACAAATCCACCAGGAAGCCTCTGCGGTCTGGACTCCGCCGAGCAGCTGTCCTCGAGCAGCAGCTGCACTGTCGACAGACACGTGCCATCTGTCTGCTAGATGGCTATGAGCATGTGTCAGGGAAGCCCCTCTTTCCTGCGAGACTGCTTTGATGTGTTGCACAGGAATTGTGGTGGCTGGCTGGAGATTGTGTATGTGTGTGTGTGTGTGTTTCTTTAATTTTTTGAGGAGCTCTGCACATGCTTTACCACTGAGCTACATCCCCAGCCCTAAAGTGTAAAGTCGGAAAACGTAAAATCACGACTATCTGGCAAATATAAAATGAACGCATGCTAAGGATTTTAACCAGTTGATTAATGAATGGTCTGTCCATCGGCTCCTAGGTCAGCGGTGGTGAACCTATGGCGCGTGTGCCATCGCTGTCCTAGGTGCTGGACTCCAGGATGCAGCAGAAATCAAGGAAAGGGTGGACTCTGGTGCTTGCACTCTAGTGTTAAACAGACACTGAATGGTGATTGTCCGCTCCGTGAGTTAAATACTAATGTGATGAGCATAGATATGGAAAGATGCTGAGAAAGAACAGGTGAGTGAGGACTAGTTTGGTTGGTGACGGTGTCAGGATGAGTCTAGAAAGATGTGGGGGATTTCACTGGGTGAAAGTCTGCTGCCCCTTGTAAGACAGAGGAAAGAGTATGTGTGAAGGGTCAAACTCCCCGAAAAGGTGGCACTTGTAGTGGGCTGACGAGGAAGTGAGATCCATGAAGCCGGAAGTATGAGCAGAAGCAAATCACACGGGGCTTTGGAGATCTGGGCAGAGTTTGGTCTTCATCCAGAGGGAGTTGGGGAGCCACTGAAGGGGAGCAGAGAGGGGAGTGGCATGATTAAAATTTGTGTTTCTGAAAACTCGAGTACTAGGATTGTGCTGTGCATAGCAATACATGTTTGCTGGCTTGGGAAGGAACAAGTACCTGGCAGAGAAGGCAGCTGAAGTCTAGTAACTAACTAGTTATCTGCTGCTCAGTCTTGTAAACTCTGGACTCGCAAGTGAAAGCTCCACATCGCCCCTCTAGGTTGATGATTTCTGGTTCACCATGGAGGAGGAAGCAGCTCTCATCATGCAGGCAGGGGCGCTTCACAGTACACGTGCCCATGACTCTTCAGGATGTTTCATCATTTTGTAAATGTAGGATAAGGTGGGGCACAGCAGGAAGGTTACAGGTTTCCCAAGCTGCAAAATATCACCCATTTATCAGGCAGAAGGCCAAAGCTGATTCTGCTGTTTGATTGGGTTAAACGTTTCCAAGAATGAGTTAAGCAACATTTCACTTTTCCTTGGCAAAGATTTTCAAACAAATGTACCATCCGAAAAACAGCTAATGCTCAGGTATGTTAAGGTGCAATGAAGCAGCCAGGCTCTTCCATGGGGGAGGAACTGTAAGTTGATGGAAATCCTGTGCAAGCATTTGTGACAGCAAAGGAGAGCCCCAATAGCTTTACTCTGCCAACTTCCCATAGAAATCTTAACCCAATAATGTGCTGTACACAGGATTTCAACTCAACTATGCCTATGCTGCCCTCGACTGTATAACTACAAGGGTCGTAGCTTTCACAAATTTGAAAAGGACCACAGCAGCATATTAGGGCTGCTCGACCTGGTCACGGGGTGCAGATAAACCTTCCCTGAGGACGTGGCCCCAAGGATGGGAAGAAAGAAGGGCAAAAGGAAATAGCAGCCCTGGGTGCACTGGGTTCCTGTGTGGTGTTGGTGTAGCAGACCACGGACAACGGTAACATCAGCAAATTCTCTTTTCCTCCCACCCCCAGACACTCCTGGCCAGAGCACTTTACAACAACCGCCCTGACTGCTCCGACGAGCTGGCTTTCTCCAGGGGGGACATCCTGACCATTCTGGAGCAAAACGTGCCAGAAAGTGAGGGCTGGTGGAAGTGTCTGCTTCATGGCAAGCAAGGCCTGGCCCCAGCCAACCGCCTCCAGATCCTCACAGAGGCCTCTGAAGACGGATCCTGCCCTGCTCTCAGCTGTCCTCCCACCAGCGAGGAGGAGACCTACCAGGTGCCCACCATGCTGCGCTCCTTACCGCCAGGGCCCGTGTATGAGCCGATGAAGAGCTGGGTGGAGGGGTCCCCACCTCCCACTGCCCAAGTCTACGAATTCCCTGATCCACCTTCCAGAGCCAGAATCGTCTGTGAAAAGACTCTAAGCTTTCCAAATCAGGTACGTGCACATCCAAAGGAAAGGAAAGTATGCTGCAAGTCATTGCTGTCCTTCAAATTGAACGTGCAAGGGGGACCCTGATGCTTGGTGGCCACAGATGGGGAGCTTAGGGGCGGGGCCCATACTCTCAGCACACCGATGATTGCCCAGCTCCGCAAGACTGGCCACACCGTCAGTCTATGCATGAGAGCTCGGTGGATGCTCACAGTGGCCTCTTCACACTGTGGAGATCACCAGGCCCACTACTGACCAATGATGGGCTTGGATTTCCTTTGTGCCAAGGCAAGAAGTTACTCATCACATTTAGAATGTGTGCGTGCACGTGTGCGCGTGTGTCAGGGGAGGGGTGGCTCCATAAATGTTGCTGATCACCACAGTGCTACCATCCAATTGTTTAAAAAAAGATGAGGGCTGGGGATTTAGCTCAGTGGTGCCACCACCGGGTGCCTCACAAGCGCAAGGTCCCGAGTTCGATCCCCAGTACCAAAAAAAAAAAAAAAAGAGGTATTTATTTATAAGAGGAAAGAAGGAGCCATCAAATCAAAGACCAAATGAACAAAAATTCAAAAAACACTGCACACATGTATGTGCACATGGCCTCACACAGGAAGGGCTGGAAGAACCCATACCGGATGTGGGGCCTTAGGAAGTAGCATGGGCCAAGGACAAAGTGAAGGAAGGCGGGCAGCAGGGACTGTTGTTTCGAGCTCACCTGTGTCCCCCGCACCTAGTACCAAGCTGTGCACAAAGTACGCCCTCCATAAGCATGTCACGAACAAACAGATTAGGAAGTTGATTTCTGTGATCTATGGAACACGTAAGAAATCTGTGATTTTGACACTGTCTGTTTTTCTGAAAACAGAAAAAGGAGCTCTTAGTGAAGGCAGAATGAAAACTTTTTTTTCAAAAATAAAAGAAGGAATTAAGAGAAGGAGAGAAGTGATGCGTTGCTTTCCCCAAGCCTTGGCGTTTGTGGGGGTTAGGGGTGCAGAGCAGACCAGCAGGGTCCAGCCCTCAGGCATTTCCCACCACCACACAGCCCAACTGGCCGCAGCCCAACAGGGGTCTTGGCGGGTCTGGGTCCAGGGAAAGGCTGCTGCCCCAGTGCATGAGGTGTGATTTAAAAGGACAGTGAATGCCTAAATGTCTAAATTTCATTACAGTAAAAGATGCATTGCCACTAATCCCCTCAAATACTCCCTCTCACTTCACACACACTCACCCTATCATTCCTGCACTTTCTGAAGCAGTTCTGGAGGTCCTCTTTTGTATCTTTACAAAGTATGGTCAAAAACACAGTTAATGCTGCTGCCGCCTGCCATCCAATGGAAAGGCAGGCTTTTAAAAACATTACAGTGGGGGCGGGGATTTGGCTCAGTGGTTCCGCTGCCTGTCTCACAGGCACAAGGTCCTGAGTTCGATCCCCGGTACCAAAAAAAAAAAACACAAACATTACAGTGTGTCCTCATCCATCTTATATACCAGATGTGGCAGCAGCTACTTCTGGCTCTTCCCCAAAGTCAAAATGACCATGAAAGGTAAACATCTTGAATCAGTTCAGGACATCAGGCAGCCACAACAGTGCAAAGGAAGACATTCACGAAGGAGGACTTCTAACTGCAAAGTAGCAAGGATGATGGGATCAATGTGTTTGAAGTGTATTTGGAGGGGGATTCATGCTAATGTGTCTTTTACTGTAATAATCTTTTTAAAATGCAAACATTCATCATATTTTTCAGTCACCCCTCATCTATGCAGTGGGGGGCCCAGGAATAAACTGCTGTCTTCCCAGGCCTCCCCCCAACAGCTGGAAGGTGTTGATTCCTTCAAAAAGATTTTGAAGAGTTCTGATTTTCTAACTCCCTGGCTGCAAGGCATAGAATTAGACAACTGTCGCACAGAACAGCTGCCACATGCAGGCGCTGGCTCCAGGCACCAGGAGGAAGAAGTTTCCAGGCTGGCTGGGCCTTCACAAGCAGCCCACAGGATGGACCCTACCTCGCTGTTCTGGAGCAGCTGGTCTGCTCTCCACCTGGCGTCTCAGCTGTGGTCGGAGCAGCTGTCTCTGTGTGAGGACTTGGTAGTGTCTCTTCTAAGAACAAGCGATACTAGCTGAAATGGACTGAACATCAGTGCCATTTCCCCCTTTCCCCAAAGCGAAAATGGACGTGGTGTCAGCCGGGCATTCCCAGCACTCAGTACAGTACTGGCCCCTCGGGTACTTAGTAAAATTTGGCTGAATGAGTGATGTGAGCCACGAGGCTTCAGAAATTCAGACTCACTGCCAGCTGCTGAGCGGGAGAAGGGAAGGATGAGTCTACTGCAGGGGTTTAACTCGGCAGGACCCACAGGGCCTGTGCTGGAAGATGTGTCCTGACACAAAGCATGGCGGCCCTGTGAGTCCTCACTTGGGCCCCTGTGGGAACCAAGAGGAACTGCAGCTTCCAAAGGGGAATTCGGGGCCCCTGAGTGGGGCTCTGAGGTGGCCATGGTAAAACACCTGGGGAACTTTCCTGCCCGGATTTTCCTTCTTAAGTTTCCTCTTTGTCTTCCCAAACTACATTTTTTCTTCCTTCCTTCCTTCCTTCCTTCCTTCCTTCCTTCCTTCCTCCCTTCCTCCCTTCCTTTCTCTTCCATTGAGGGTCCAGTCCTGGTTTTCTTGGCTTTTGGGGTAAGCCCTGTCACTCTGCAGCACTGAGAAGGAACATCTTGACACCGTCTGTGTATCTCTTTCCTCCTGTCAGGAGGTTGGACCTATTATTTCTCAGATCACCTCCAGTTGTACCTTATGATGATTCTAAATAACTTCACATCTCCCCCAGCTTTAAAAAGGAGGGATCTAGAGTCAATAGAATAGTTAATAATCAGCTGAGAATTTTCTGGCCACAGAAAAGGAAGGCATCGCCTACATGCTCAGGTGAGCTGACATTTAATCCTGAGTTTGACACTGCCCAGGAAATACAATCAAGCAGATGTGATCATTGATAGAACCAGGAAAGTCCCAGCACCTGGCTTCAGCTGCTTTCCAATGGAGGGTTCACAGGCTTGGGCCACTAGAGTGACTCTTTTTTTTTTCTACCGGGGAATCGAACTTGGGACCTTGCGCTTGCGAGGCAGGCGCCGGAACCACTGAGCTAAATCCCCGGCCCTAGAGTGACTCTTTTCACAGCCTCCTTTTATACTTGATCATCTCTACATACAGACTGACTCCAGATGAAAAACCAAGATCACAGGAACATGTGGCTTTTCCCAAGTTGTCCTAAGAGAGGCATGTATGTGTCAGATGTCACCATAGCTGGAAGTGACCTCTGTGGACCTATGGATTAGAACAATTGTCCATTTTACAGATGAGGAAACTGATCCTGGGATGGGAAACTGCCCATCCAGGCTCCTGCAGCTATGGCTGCAGAGCTGGGACTAAAGCTCCCTGGTCGAGTCCATCTGTCTGCCTTGCCCCAAAGAGAGAACCCTCTCTTGGGCCATCCCTCATCATGGGCCACCCCTCATCTTTCACTTTGCTGTGGCTTAAGCTTTTCTCTCTATGGAGGTTTTTGTTAAAGTCTCGCCTTCTCAGATCCTAAGGGTACAGCTCAGCTAGTATCAGTCACAAAAGGGAACGAGTCGGGAATGCAGCTGTGTGGGAGAGTGCTTGCCTCATTCATGGAAAGCCCTGGGTTCAATCCCTAGCACCACAAGTAAAAAATAAAACCAGCCCTCGCGTGGCACCCCGCACCCTGCACCTTCTCCCTATTACTTCCCCCAGGGTAACCACTATCCTGAGCTCTGTTTTACTTTAATGTCTACTTCCTTAATAGAATATGCAGGCCTGATTTAAAAGAAAATAGAGCACATAATGAACATATTGGATTTTGGTTTCACTTCTAAGGGGGACTCTGGTGTTTCAAGTGTAAAGAGCTAGGTTTCCTGGTGAAGTTGCCATCAGACCCAGTAGTTCCTAAACCAGAATTTCTTCTGTCTCCCTAAACCTTTCAAAACCACATTTCTCAGACATGTTCCTTAATTCACTGATACCCGGAACCTGCATTTTCCAAGAAACTGGGAATTTTTGAGGTGGCATCTTTCTATCTGATATGTCACTCTCAGGAAACTCCCTTGGCCCTCTGGCGGTGCTTCTACCAAGCATGTGTGATCCACAAAGCGAGCCACATAAACAAAGTGGGCCTGAAATCACCGGGGAGTAACAGGCAAGGGGGCAGAGTTGGAAAGGTTCTGTGGTGAGGGCTGGTGTCTTGGGATAGGTGGAGCCTGGAGGGGGCAGACCAGGAGGAGATGGACGATGGGTCAGGATGCTCTTGCCTGGTCCCCAGGCCTGGATGGTCTGTGGCTTCTTAGGCTGTTGAACATCTTAGATTTGAGTAAAAATCCAATGGGGACCACTGATGAGTCTACACTGAACCGATCAGCCTGAGCTTCCGGGCTCTGCTTCCCCTGCCCATGACTCAGGTCCTCCGGGCACTGATGGGATGTCGCCTCCCTGATGCTAGGATTTCAGAGAGCAGCGCTTCCAGACCCTGTTTCGTTGTTAAAAGCAGCTGTTACACAGAGAAGGGGTCTGTTTTGACACTTGACAGCTGCATCGTGTCCTTGGGAGAAGTGTGTGTCCTGTGGGATTTGCAGCTGCTGTATCTCCATCTGTGATTCCAGCCTGATGAACAACCAGGCGGGGTTTTATGTATTAAACTAGATTTTACTGTCCCAAGCTGGACACACTCACCAAAAATGAACAAATAAACACCAGCACTTAACATGTGCACCCCAGCGCTAGGTTCTGGGGACATCAGTTTGAACGAGGGACCCCGGCCTTGACCTCGTGTAAATCCTGACTACCCTCCTAATCCAGCTTGGAAATCCTCTGCTCAATGACAAGCTCCTTGGGACCCAGGTGGGAGGTACATTTTTCATTTCCTAGGCTCTCAGGAACTTCAGCTTTTCCTCTTTCCAGCCCTGTCTTGAGTCCCAGCCTGTGTCCTCAATGTGCCCAAATTCTACTTCCTTCCCTCTTAGAGTGAGGCCCTGTCAGCCAGCACCCACTACCCTATTAAAAGCTCACCCTCTGCCAGGCCCCTCCTAGAGACAATGTGATTCAAGAGGTCTGAAGTGGGACCTGGATTATTTCATGGCTCACCAGAGAATTCAGATCTCCGATCCAGGGTGGAAGCCGCCACCCTGTAGCACACAGCGCAGTCCCAGTTTAGAGCTGACAGCAATGGGCTCTAAATGGTTATCTGGAACCCCAGATTCCCTCTGCAGGCACAGACTCCGAGGCAGCAGCACAAGCAATCACCGAAGAAAGGCTCCTAGGAAACGTGAGCGTCAGTGAGCTGCTTAGCTGACTCCCCACTCCACCTCTCCCCTCCCCTTGCCTGCTCCCCTCTGTTACCTTCAACCACTCAGCACCACATCTCTTCACCTCCCACTCCTGACAGCAAGAGCTGTCACCCATGGTTCCTCTGCTCACCTCTGACTCCCCCATGGTGCTCACCCCAAGCAGCACCCCATGGGCCTATTTCCCCTAGACCTTCTGAGCTGTTCCAACTACCCGCTGACAGCCGCAGCCTCAGCATGACTGGGTGAGTGCAGGAACAGGCCAGGGTGGACTTCTCACCTCCCGATCCCTGGAAAGCCTCACAGTTACGGAGCAAGCTCGTGTCCACTGCACGTTCTTGGCCCCTTCAGCACTCAGAGGTTTGCCAGGTGTGGGGCCTGAGAACCTGCACTCTGACTGCTTCCCAGGTGAGGCAGAGCAGGCAGCTGTGGTCCACCTGTGAGGAAGGCCGTCCTCCAGCAAGGGGCCTCCTGCCAGCTGGCCCCAGGCTCCGGCGTGAAGGATCTGCCCACAGAGGCGTCCAACAAGCTGTCTTTGCATTGGAGAGGTCACCCGGAATGCAGTGGTGACAATGAGCATGACGCTGTCTTTCCCCTGGCCCTTCTCTTTCTCCCAGGCCCTCTTCGAGCTTCCCAGACCTTCGAGGGCCTCGGCGCCAGCCCTGCTCTCCCAGGTGTACGATGTGCCTGCCCACAGCCAGCCCTCCTTGGCCTTTAATGTGAGTCTCACCCAGCCACCCTGCTCCCTTCGGCCTCTGTGCCGTGGAGCCTGGGGTTGGGGTGCATGTGGACGTCACATCTCAGCTCTCTGAGGTCTTCAGGGGCCCCACACTGCTCTAACCCCAAAGGTGCCCACTCAGACGCCAGCTGCACAACAAGACTCCACAGAACACTGTGGCAACTGAAGTTCTGGATGTTTGTAAAGTTGTACTTTTCACATGTAATAGAGGGGCCAGGATGTCACTCAGTGGCTCTGCGCCTGCCTCGGAAGTACAAGGTCCTTAGTTCGATCCCTGGTACCGGAAAAGAAAAAAAGAAACAAGCGATGAATGCATATGTAACAGATATTTCATTATGTATGTATTATGTATTGTGCACGCACACTTGCATTTTTAAAAAAATCTTTTTGGGGGCATTGCTAAAGATTGAACCCAAGTGCTCTACCACTGAGCCACATCCCCATCCCCAACCCCCCCAATAGTATCTTGAAGGGTGGGTATTATAGTCTTAGCATTGGTTATCACTGACAGCCAAACAGTGATTATCTTTGTTTTAGGGTTTGTTTTTTTAAACTTACTTCTACATAACTGGAACATCAAATTTTTTTAAATGTGCTTCATGTAATGAAAAATAACCTCAGCGGAGTATGGTGGTGCACACCTGTAATCCCAGCTCTCAGGAGGCTGAGGCAGGAGGATCCCTGTGAGTTTGAGAGCATCCTGGACTACACAGTGAGACCCTGTCCCAATTTAAAATGACAACAACAAATCTTTAATCTTTTTTTTTTATGATGCTGGAGATTGAACCCTTGGCTTTTGCACTGAACTACATCCCCAAGCCTTTTAATTTTGTTATTTTGAGACAGGGTCACACTAAGTCGCTCAATTGCCCAGGCTAGGCTGGGACTTTGGCTCCTCCTGCCGCAGCCTCCTGAGTGCTGGGATCACAGGGCCACACCACCATGCCCAGCTCTTCACTCCTTCCTTGGTTCTCAGCTTCCACCATTGCAAGTGGGGTCCTGTGGGAGCTGCCCCATGCCCGCTGCCTGGCCCTGCCCCAGAAGACCTGTGGTCTCAGATCTCAGCCACAAGCATCAGGACCTTCAGCGCTTCTGTGTGACTCTAATGTGCAGCTGGGGCCGAGACCACAGCAGCAGTGTCAATAAAACTCATGCAGCTCTGTGACTTCCTGGTCACGGGTCTGAAGAAGCCACTTTAGCCTCCCTAGTCTCCCTGGAGGGGATGCAATGTCCTACCCAGGCAAGATCCACCTCTCAGCTCATGTCAGGCCAGAGCCCCTGCCCTCCCTGGCTTAGTCCTGCTTGCTCGACCTGGGATCCCAAAGTGTGAGCTCAGGATGGAGTGGGTTCTCTGCAGTTCCTTGTCAAAAGCTGGCACAGAGACCTCCTGCTCTGAATGGTCTCAGACCCTGGCAGCGTTTCAGACACAGGCACGGCGAGAGGGCTTGAGGGAGAAAGGTGCCACTCGCCTGGCTTCCTGGTGAGCAGGTGCAGGCGCTGGAGGGCAGTGGCGGGTCCAGCCGACTCCCACTCCTCCCGGGCTGTCCCCTGCCTCGCTGCTGAGCACAGTTCACCTGCAGCCCCGCCTGGAGGTCAGTGTCCCTGCTCTGCCTCTGGCTCCTTCCCTAGCTCCAGGCAGGAAGGGCACCTCCAGTGCACCCTCCTGAGGGGCCCTCATCCATTCTGCTGGCCCTTGCTCAGCCCTGTGACCCCCGCCAGGGCCACAGAAAACACGTCCTCCCTTCACTGTGAGAGGCTCCGGGAGCACCGGCAGCTGCCTCGGGGGCCGATGTCCTGGCACAATGGCCTCGCTCACCTTGCTCTAACCCTGGCCCCATCGCATCCCATCTTCATTGAAAGTTCTGATGATTGGTTCATCATCATTTTTAAATTAATTATGATTTCGGAAAATATCCCCTAGATGTATGCGGCGTTTGTTCCCTTCTGAATGTTGTGCCCTAGGCGAGGGCTTTGCTTTTCTCACTCTGGTCCCGGCCCTGGGATAGGCCGCTGCTCTGCTTGGTCATCAGCCTGTCACCTTTGCCCTCTCCAGCCAGCGCCCACGCTGTGACCCCATGCTCAGTGGACACGACTCGAGTCACCAAAGGGTCCCTCTGGAGCCCTCCATGCTTCGTTTGAAGGGAGGGGATCCCCTTTCCCAGCCAAGGAGAATCCATGGGAGGCTCAGAGCCTGATTCTCCCAAGAAACCCCTCCAACGCCCTGCTCCTTCTCTTTCTTGACAAATCTGTTTCGGTGCTGTCTCACTTTGGTTTGAAACTTGGATCTTTTTGCTCACATCCTGATATACATGTTTTCTGATTGCTGTGAGATATACATGTATATAATATAATATATAATATATAATATTATAATGTATGTATTTCAACCCACTGAAGGTAAGTAACACTGTAGGAAAGTGGCAATCAGGCTCCCAACAAGCACAGTGCCTGGCACTTAGTAGGTCCTCAATATGATATATATTTGTCCGAAAGTCACTCAAAGCCTTTTTATTGCTGTAAGTACTGTATGCATGCAGTGCCATTTGGCTCAGTGTTTAGTGGGTAGTAGGCACTCGATAAGTATTTTCAGGATGAATACGTGAGTGATAAACACAGGAGAATTTCTACTGAGAAAAACAAGTGAAAAGGAAGACATAGGAGATGCCAGGGTCATTTTTCCTTCTGGCTTCATTGGTTCCAAAGGCTAATTCCTTTAGGATGAGCTGTCAGTTAAACATAGGCGACTGCACTTAGTGCGCTATGGCTTTTCCCACCTTTGGAGCAGAAGTCCTTTAAAGCACCAAGTCCTTTGTTGAATGCACACAGTGCAGTACAGAGACTTCCTCCGGAACAGCAGCTTGACTGAGAACCCCAAAGTGTTCAGGGATTTGTGTCTTTCTTTGGGAAAAAACACTGGAGTGTAGAGAGTTTGTGATGGTAGCCATTAGGAAGGAAGAATCTAATTTGTCCTCCTTTATGTCCTTCCCTAGGAGCCAGCGAAGCACCAGTTATATGATATACCAACTAGCCCCCACAAGGCAGCCTTCCAGCTCCCACCCAAACAAGCAAGTGTGAGTATGCGCAGGTGCCAAGATTTGATGTTGTGAAAACTAAATGTCCACTGGGAAATGTTATCAGCTTGATATGTTAGTCAGCTTTTCATTGCTGTGACAAAATACCTGAGACAAACAACTGATAAGGAGGAAAAGTTTATTTGGCTCATGGTTTCAGACGTTTCAGTCCATGGTAGGTTGCTCCATTCCTTTTGGGCCTGTGGTGGGGCAGGATATCATGGCGGGAGTGCATAGTGGAGCAAGGGTATTTGCCTCATGGTGGCCAATCTGCAGAGAGAAAGAGGAAGGGACTGGGGTCCCAATATCCCCTTCCAGGGCACCTCTGATGATATCACTTCATTCAAGTAGAACCTCTTAATGACTCTACCACCTCCTAACAGCATCACAAGCTGGAGACCAAGGTCTCAACACATGAAGCTTTCAGAGACATTTCAGGTCCGAACCATAGCACTCAATCAAAACTCAGAATGCAAATTGCACTCCACAGAGTCTCGCCCTTGAGGCAAAATTCCTAACCGCACTGGTGTTTATGCACGGGATTGGGCATGTGGTGTGATAAGTCTTTGAACTTCTCTGTGCTTCAGTTTCTTATCTCAGAGGCCTGGGGAGTATGAGGTGGGATATTCCCTGCAAAGCACCCAGAACAGGGCCTGACACCGAGCAAGAGCTCAGCAAGTGCCAGGTGATTGCTTCCTGCTGGGGGCACCTCAGAGATGCACTGTGTTAATGTATCCTTTGACTTGGATGTAGACTTCACTTGCAATCTGTACAATCCACATTCATCATTAGATTCTACCACATGTGCCACGGACACACTTAGGCCTAAGGTTACTGGGGGAAGCCTGACAAAAGAGGCAGCACTTCAGTGTCATGAGGGATGTATAGGAGTTCGTTAGATGGAAAAGAAGGGATTGGAAGGGCAGTTAGGAGAAAGGGACCATTTTAATGAAAAAAAAAAAAAAAAAAAGTGGAATTCTGAGCCTGGGGTGGGTGGTTCTAAACAGCCTGGGTAGACACTGCAAGCATGGCAAGAGTGGGATGGTGGAAGTGAAGAGAAAAGAGGCTCAAAAGCATGCAGAGACAGACTGGGAGGAGCCTTGGCTGATGAAGGCACTGGGGAGCCACGGAAGGAACTTGAGCAGGGGAGACCAGGCTTTAATGAATCATTCAAATGCTCTTTTTCCCTTGTTGTACCGGGGCTTGAATCCAGGCCTTCACCCTGAGCTACATGCCCAGCCCCTCTCTCCAGCTTTTATTTTATTTTATTTTTTAAATTTTGAGACAGTGGCCCAACCTGGGTCTGAGCTCGCAGTCCTCCTGTCTCAAGATCCTGGAGGGCAAGATTACAAGTGGGTCCCACCGGGCTCAGTTCAAGCCTTCTTTTTATCGCTGCTACTCTGGGGCAACTTTGTGTGGTTCTTCCACAGGGCCAGAGCGTTCCCCCGACACCAGCGCTGGACTTCAGAAGAGGTGGTTACAAGACATTGCCAACCCCTCAGAAATCAGGATGGATTTATGACACACCAGTGCCTCTGGCAAAGGCCACTGTCAGAAATGCATCTCCAACCGGCTTCACAGAAGAGTCAAAGCCAAATGCTGTCCCCAGTTCGGCAGCCACTGCCCTCAGTCCCCAGGGCAGCAGAGACTGGGTCCTCCATCCGCAGCTGTGTGACAATGTGCCCAGGCAGAAAAAGCTCAGCCTTCCTGAAATCCCTTCCTCTTCCTTCCCAGCACCCAATAACACAGTCCCTTCAGATGCAGGCATCAGCTACAAGGTGCCTTCAAGCTTTCTGATTCCCCGAGTGGAGCAGCAGAACACCAAGCCTAATATTTACGACATCCCTAAAGCAAGCTCAAGTGCATCTCAGGCTGAGAAAGAGTTTCAAAAAGCCAAGGAGGCTCCAGAGAATTCCACGGGCCTCAATTCCTGCCCATTCTCAAGATACACAACCACTCTGTCTCCTGAGCTGGACAGATTGTCTCTTTCCAGCTCCGACAGCAGAGCCAGTGTTCTTTCTTCATGCTCCTCTACATCCACTGACTCCTCCTTCAGCTCCTCCTCCTCAGAGTCAGCCAAGGAGCTCTGTCTGGATGTGGACTCAGCCAAAGACATGGCAATGGCCCTGCAGCACAAGGTGGTCAGCTCTGCAGCTGGCCTACTGCTGTTTGTGAGTAGGAACTGGAGGCTCCGAGACTCCCTGGAGGTCCATATCCATGCGATCCACAGGGCCGCAGACCACATAGCAGAGTCCCTGAGACAATTCCTGGATTTTGCCCAGGGAGTTCGTGGGATCACCTGCAACCTCAGTAACAGTCACCTTCAGGCCAGAATTCAGGATCAGCTACAGACAATCTCCAACTCCTACCAGAGCCTGCTGGAAGCAAAGGAATGCCTGGACAGCTGCAAGTGGTCTCTCGACGTTCTTTTGGTGGACAAAGTCCAAAACAGCATGGATGACCTTGAGAGGCTTGTCATGGTTGCACAGACGGTTCCTGAAGATGTCAAGAGGTTTGTCTCCATTGTCATCGCTAACGGGAGGCTCCTTTTTAAGCAGAACTGTGAAAAAGAAGATACAGTACAGTTGCCCCCAAATGCAGAATTCAAATGTGCGAAATGTGTCCAGCTTCCTCAAAGAGAAACGGAATCCTACCAAAAGAACACTCCTTCTAATAAACAGTGGGGAAATGAACACTCCCCTAAACTAGCAGAGAAAAACAGGACAGCTGTCTGTGAACAGGTGAGTTCAGAGTTCGAAATGATGTGACAGGGTTCACTGTTAGCCAGCGTGGTCATCACTAAGAGAGATGCTGAGAACTTTCATCAGTAGTGTGTTGGCTCTGGGGAAACCCAGAGAAATTGGTTCCTTTTCCCAGTCAATCAATCAATCAATCATCAATCAATCATCTTCATGAAAGTAAACTCCTAGATAAAATCCTAATTAGCAAGTCAGATAATTATTTTAATATTAAGGCAGATGGAACACATGCAAATTTGGATTTCCTCGAGAAATATTTGGGGCTCAGGTTTACCACTGATGCTGGAATTAGCAAGATTTTTAAAATCACCTAGAAATCCATTCATTGAAGCCAGGGGAGGTGGCGCATGGCTGTAAGCCTGGCATTCAAGGAGCTGCAGCAGGAGAATCCCGAGTTCAAGGCCAGTCTGAACAATAGAGATCCTGTCTCAAAAAAAGTAGATCCATTTGTTGAGTGGCTTTTAAAATCTTACTTCCAAGTTTCCTTGTATTTTTGAAAGTTGTAAACTTAGTCATCATCAGCATGTTTCCTAGAAACAGAAAAGGAATATGAACTTTTTTCCAGATTGTTCATGGCCTGACCAGCCCCCGGCTTGCAGTCATGCTTGGAAATACTTTGCTGGCCATCTCCAGACCTTACAGAAACTGACTTGAGTCCAGGGACTACCAGCTTCAAGGGCCTAGCAGGCAACTCAGGGACTGGGTCACGGAGACAGTTTGACACGTTCAGCCCTGGCCTGGGGGCCCTGCTAAAATACCTGGCGACATGAGGGCTCTGACACATCCTAAAAATATGAATGTTTTAATTTTCATTATATATATATAGGTATAATTTGTTAAACTATACGGGTCATTATAATAGGCCATGTTGGTAGGCGAAATTCAGCCCTTGGGCTGCCCAAGTTTCTTTTGGTTGAAAAAAAGATATCATTAGGCAGATCCATGGACAAAAATATCAGGAGAGATGCATAAGTTTTAAAGTGAACTTCAACAGTCATATCGTAGTGTAAAAACCATTCAAGCCGGTAATTTAAAGGGATTTTATTTTACAGATGTTACCTGGCCTAGAAGAGAAAGAAAAGTCCATCTTAGAACGAAAGTCAGATGAAAATAAAAATGTAGGACCAGTGGTAAGCCATCACACTCACTCTCCGACTTCCGGTTGAGGTGGTTTTTGTCCCTAGAGTTGTCTCCTCAGCTGTGGAAAATTCACTATGACAGCATGACTCACACAGGGTGGCTTGCTATTTCCTTTTGAGCAGTAGAAGGAACTCTGGGGAGCCCAGTGTCCCCAGTGTGAACCTTTGACCACCAGGGAAAGGGTCTGGTTGCCCTGTAGGGTTCCTGGGGGTGCTGCCACTGTGGCCCTACAGAGCTATCTTGTCCCCGTGACATTTTCTGTTCATGCTTCTGGTTACAATGGCAACAAGAAAAACATCTGGGTTTGGGGTTTGTGTATCCTCAACACCTCTTTGACACTTGATCTACTTTTTTTTTTTTAATCAAAGATGTTATCGCTGTGCTTATTTTTACTGGTTGTCTCCTCTATGTGGCAAAGAATAGTAGTCTTCTATTTATCCATTTTGAAAGTTTTCTCTAAATTAATTAAAGTAAATAATGAGCCCATTTAAAGACCAAGTGTGAACAGCAGATGTTAAGAGACAGGCAAGAAAGGGTATAGTTTGCAATGGTTGTGAAAGTTATCTTGGAGTTATTGATGCTTGGCTAACAGTGAACCAATTTGACAACCTGGACTTCGGGGCATGTGGGGTGGAAGAGCGAAGGACAGAGAGGTCCCATAACTCAGAAAGGGTCATGTGCCTTCTCCAAGGCAAGCTAAGGCAAGAACTCAGGCTTCCTGACCCCCAAACCCAGACACTAAGCTTTGGGCTTTCCACACCGCTGGGTCATGCTGTTTTCCTCTATGGAAAGAAAAGCTTTAGACCTGTGGTTCTCAAACTTGACAGTGCATGGCAATCGCCTTACCAAAACTCCGAAGGCTGAGCCTCACTGCAAGTTTCTGCTACAGTGGGACTTGGCGAACCTAGGAATCTACATCTTTGATCAGTTCTTGGGTGATGCTACTGAAGCTGGTATAGGGCCCCTGCTGTAGCCAGCAGTGCCTCCGTGGTAGGAGACCAGGTGTCTTTGGCCCCGGAGACAGTTCCCTGTACCAGGGTGTGGTGTTTGGGGTCTCAGCCTCCATCCACCAACTGCTCGGGGTCATAGCTCCGCACATCCCCGCACCCAGGCTCAGGGTCACGGTGCAGTTTTCATCCACCTCTAGCTGGTATTTACAAGTTAAAATGCTGCCAATTAACCTCTGGCTCCTTGCATCTCCCTGCTTCTAACCTGCACCTCACTCCTCTTAGCCTCCAGACCCCCAAAGAGGCATTGTAACTGACACCCCAAACTGTTCTTCACTTTGTGCTAAAAACTAGTCACTGTTTTCATTTCCCAAATATGATTTTTTTTTTGCAGTACTGAGGACTGAAGATCTCACATATGTTAGGCAAGCACTCTACAACTTATAGCCCTGGCCCTTATTTATTTATTTATTTATTTATTTATTTATTCAGTTATTTATTTGGAGAAAGAGTCTTACTAAGTTGCCCAGATTGGCCTTGAATTTGCAATCCTCCTGTATCAGCCTCCTGAGTGGCTGGGCTAAACATGAAATTCTAATAATGAGTAGACCTGTCCAGCACATTAAGTCCTCTGTCCTTGTCCCCTCCAAACCCAGCAGCCACTGGGGACACAGCCCCTTTCTGAAAAACCATTCTGTATGTCCCCTCTGTGAGCGCTGTCACAGGTAATGAGAGTGCGGTTGGGAGAACAGGTTCAGGCTTAGCCCTTTAACTGTGAGCTCTGGACCTTTCATTTTTGCTAACTGAACGTCCCTGGCAGCCTCCGCCCTGCACTTCAGTTTCCTCACCTATGAAATGAAAAGAGAAGCTTCTTGTGGTGCTGCACACCTGTAATCCCAGCTTCAGGGAGACTGAGGCAGGAGGATCACAAGTTGGAGTCCAGCCTGGACAACTCAGTGTCACAGCAAGACCCTGTCTCAAAGTGTAAAGAGACAAAACATTAAAAATGGCTGGGGATGTAGCTCGGTGGTGGATAGGCCCTGGGTTCAAGCCCCCAGTCCTGCAAAAGTAAATAAGTAAACTAACAAAGGAGCTCAAGATTTTTACCTGGAGTGCTCACCACTGAGTTAGGTGCTAGATATTGGCTTTGGGGGGAGATGTTGATTCTATTTCCCAGAAAGTAAATCTCTGGAAAGTAAAATTTTGGTGAAATCATATTAGCAAATAGGCATTTTCATATTAAGGCAGATACCAGTAGGTCAGCCTATTTGATTTATTCTACAAACTTCTGGAGTTCAGACATACCTCTTCTACTGGAAGTAGAAAGAATTTTTAAGTGTTTTAGAATCTCTTCTTTTTTTCTTTTTTCTTTCTTCTTCTTCTTTTTTTTTTTCCTTTGAGACAGGGTCTCACTATGTAGCTCAGGCTGGCCTTGAACTCACTATGTAGCCCAGGCTGCCCTCAAACTTATGGCAATCCTCCTTCCTCAGCCTTCTGAGTGCTGGGATTACAGGCATGGACCACCATGCCCAGTTTAAAATCAATTCTATGAGTAAATCTTTAAAATCTCATCATCAAGTTTCTTTTCTTCCCTCCCTCCCTCCTTCCCTTCCTTCCTTCCTTTCTTTTTAACTAGGGATTGAACCCAGGGCCTTGTACCTGCTAGGCACATGCTCTATCACTGAGCTACACCTGAAACTTTTCCTGCACGTTTGAATGTTATGAATTTGGTCACCCTCAAACATGTTTCTTAGAATTGGTTCCTTATGGTTCACTGAGGTGGTAACGTTGCTTTGAAAACATCAATTTGTTAGACAAATGTTGCAGCATTGATTTCCCAAATGAAACTGTTTCTCTTGTAAAAAGGCTTGCAAATTGAGCAAAAACAGGAAAAGGGAGACAACCACAGCCTGGTGACCGATCTACCGCTTATCTGCTTTGGTCTTCCTTTTCTCTAGAATCCCAGCTTGCTACCCCAGCCCTGGAGCGGGCCGGCCCCCGAGAGGAAAGTCCCCCTTTCTGAGCACTGCCGGCTGTACTTCGGAGCACTCTTCAAAGCCGTGCGCGTGTTCCACGGCAGCCTCAGCGCCGGCCAGCCGCCCGAGGTCTTCATCACGCAGAGCAAGCTGGTCATCACGGTGGGGCAGAAGCTGGTGGACACGCTGTGCAAGGAGACCCGGGAGAGGGACGTGCGCAACGAGATCCTCCGCAGCAGCGGCCGCCTGTGCGGGCTGCTCAAGTCCCTGGCGCTGGCCACCAAGGATGCGGTGCTCAAGTACCCGAGCCCTGAGGCCCTGGGGCTGCTCCAGGCCGAGGCTGAGAAGCTGGAGCATCATGCGAGGCAGTTCAGAGAGATGTTGGAATGAGCCCTTCCTCCGGGGCTAACTCTCGTACCCATGACCTGTGCAACTGTGCGTGATGGGACAGGCCCGCGGGCCATGCACAGACAGCACCGAGTCCACAGCACCACGGGGCCACGCAGCCCAGGACGCTGACCCCAAGGGGGCTCCGGAAAGAGACTCGGTATTAAGGACGCCGTGAAGTGAGTGTACAGTGCTGGTGTCTAAGCAACTTTGTGGAGAGCATCGTGTAACTCGTTACATGTGTGCATGGTTTACATTCATTCATCCAACGCCTATTTATTGAGCACCAGTTATGCACCAAGTTCTGGGAGCTGCCTGAGTGTCAGAGGCTGGCTGAGCTCATGGTCCGGTGGGGGACAGACATGATGAAGTAAGGAAGAAATACATTGTCAGTACATAGAGGAAAAAGCTGGGGAGGAGGAAGGGAATTTAGTTTCAAAAGATTAATATGTTACTTCCATTAGAAAAATGCAATATATCCATCCCCAGTACAAAACACAGAAAGAAAGAAAATGTGATACAGGGTAGGGGATGTAGCTCAGCAGCACTGTGCCTACCTTGCAAGTGTAAGGTCCTGAGTTTGATCCCCAGTACTGGAAAAAAAAAAGAAAAAAGAGAAAATGTAATGCTTTTTTTTTTCATTTTGGATTGAATTAATTCCTTGAGATTGGTACAAATTATACCTGTGTCTTGGACAAATACATATATGTACATACATATATATTTGCTATGTTATCTTACCCTGGTTAAAGACGCATGCTATATTTGCAGCATAACATGCTCTGTTGGGTTCCCTATTAACTTATTTTGTGTACTACAGATTCTCTGTTGATAAACTCTACTGCTCAGATGGGAAAGGTACTTTGGCAGTTGCAAGTCGGTTATGGTCTATAATATTATTTAAATAGAATCATGAATGCAAACATCATCTGCTGCAATCCTTTCTTTGGAAAAGTCTTGGATCAGTGTCACCCAAGTTCTGGTGCCACAGTGAAGCCTTTGGTCTTGATTTTGCCCTGCAGGGGCTTCTCTCTGGGGTCTGCAGCGAGTTGCTATAGAGGTCAAGTTCTCATGCACCTGGCCTGGTGAATGAAGCTGTCAGCTTCATTAATAACACAATCAGTGGTGCTGCAGACAGGAAAATGTGGTGTGCTCGGGATGCCTATCACTGGGCACAGATGTGGAAGTGGCCCTGGGCTCCCTTCCAGGCACACCACCTCCTCTTTCTCTCCTTGAAGCTGACTCTTGCTAGTGTTGCTATGCTCCTGCCTCACCTCCATGCACCTCAGACACTGTACAGCCTCATCACCAGGAAAAGCATCCACAGCCCCAGACCTTTGCAGTGGTACCAAGTTCAGCTCCTATCTGTTCCTCTGCCCTTGGGCAGAAATTATTCACTGTGGAAGACTGGCTATTTTTATTGAGTGAGTCTCGGGCTCTATAAAGAACGATCTCTCCATTGTGAGCCTTAGTTCTCTGCAACTGGACAGAGAGATGGGAGGGCCACGTGCTATGAACAGCAGGATTTCATCAGTTAGGATCCTGTTCCGAGTGACAGAAAAACATGCACAGTCTGTCTTAAGCAACAGAGGAAATGCATTGACTCGAATATCTTAAAATAATCTAGGGCAGCCCAGCTGTACATCTGGCTGGTCTCCCGGGCTCCAGCAGTGTTACCGAGGAGCAGTGTCTTGATCTCACTCTCTTCGAGTCAACTCCAATCATTGCAAGGTGGCTGCCTCAGATTATGTCCTTCTTCGTTCATGGCCAGAGGAGAAAAAAGAGACTTCATTGTGTGTGCAGTGGGTTATCAGGGCCTGTCCTGGACAGCTTCATCGTCAGGCAGGCACAGAGACACAGACAAAGACTCACACTCACACACACACACACACACACACACACACACACACACACACAGAGGCAGAGGCTCCCCATGTCCTGAGAGAGGTGAAGTGACAGTCCTGTCAAGAGCTGAGAAGTGCCTAAGGGTTTTTTTTTTCCTACTTCAAAGAGCAAGTTTAAAGTGAAATCGGCAAAGGGAGGAGGCACCTGGAATGAGATGTGGGGGGCAGCACACATTTCCCAGAGTTGTCACCCCACAAAGGCATGCAGGACACACTTAATTCCTCCAGCAATGAGCTGTGACAGCACTGTGAGTTGCGGCCATCCAGGAAGCTCGTTGAGTGCCTCAGAGCCGAGTGTTCTCACCGGGGGTCCGATCGTGCAAGCACCTGTCATGTGTCCAGTCTCCCAAGAGAAAACAGGAGTCCCAGTCTGGACACTTTAGGCACAGTGAGCCATTCTTATCAATTTGGGAGATGATGGAAACCTCCCCAAATTCCAAGTCCCCATTGCCAAACAGGAGCGGACCTTTTTGGCAGACCTTTCTGAGGATGCCAGCCAGACCTGCCACCTGAGCTCCTGTCTGCACAACAAACTCTCTCCAAGCATTCATTGCAAGCCAGCTTATGGTTGTCATTTTCAAATCATTTGGCCGTATTCCTCGAGCCCCAGGACTGAAAGCATGGGAGATTAGGTAGATGCTGTCACACATTGGGATCTTAGGAAGTGACTGAATGACAAGAGCTCTAATCATAATTTGAGACGTTATTGGGAGCTGATGGAAATAGGAAGTAGGCCTACTCAGAGGGAGTGGATCATAGAGGCCTTGAGCTTGGGGACTGTACCTGGTCCCTAGCTCCTTCCCCTTGGGGTCTTTCTCTGTTCCTCTGCTTCCTGGCTTGTAGGAAGTGAGCGGCTTCACTCTACCAGATCCTTCCGCCATGATGTTCTGCCTCACCTCAGGTGCACAGCAAGGGAGCCACCCAACCATGGATCGAAACGTCTGAAACCATGAGCCAAAATAAACTTCTCATCCTCCAAGTTGACTTTCTCAGGTATTTGGTCACAGCAGTGAAAAGCAAACACACCAGAATCCCTGTTATAATGGGCCGCAAGCAGACCTGATAAAAAAGGGGTCATCTTTACTGTGCTGGACAGGTTTGCTAACAAACCTCCCTCTGCTGTCGAGGGAGGCACTAGCACCATCTTCCAAGGCTGTTGGCCACTAATACCCTGACAAGATGGTCCAGGGCCAAGTGCCAGGTGCTGTGCTCAGAAGATAAATGGAAATGAAAGACACCCATGGAGAACCATCTTCCAGCAAGATCATCTGGCAAAAGTCATGAATATTGCTGGAAGAAGAAAAAGGGATTGTTGCAGGGAGGCAAACAATACATTTTTATTGAAGTGGGAAAAAATTTTACACAAGAATAATAACAACAGCACATATTTATTAAATGATTACTACTAAAGCACTGTTCTACTGTCTTGTATGCCTTAACTCAGTCCTTTCTAAGTGACAGACTCTAATACATAATAGATTTTTTTTAGACGAATTCAAACCAAAGACAACTGTCAACAAAGCCATTGGGTACAAAATGATGAAAAATGCTGTTATTAGCTAAATATGTTTCCTTCCCCCTTTGTTTTTTTGGAAGAGAGTGGTTATAGGGGGAGTTTCCACTGATTAATAGGCTGATTACTTCTGAAAATATTCTAAAAGAACCAAGCACATATTTTCAGCTTTTGGTAACTTTTTGCTAAATATTTGTGTCCAATGCCCAGAATTTTGTACCATTTCCTCCCAAGGAAGGAAGAGGAAATGGTGGGTGAGCCGGCGGTAGGGGTGGCGCTAGCAACTTGACCTCAATTAAGTTAAATTCATCAAGAGGATGGAAGTGGTGAGAAGCCCACTTAAGAGATCTTCCAGTGTGACAAGTGCTGGGAAGTCATGTTTCTGGTTTGGTAGCAACATGTGTTTAATAGAACATCTTTTTTAATGCTTATATTTTCCTCAACTATCCACCTTAATACTCCCAAAGTTCCACGTGTATTCATGCATAATGAGGTGCACGAATGCCATTTGCTAATACTGGTTTCCTTTTAGTCATTCCTTAACAAGTTTGCTTTGTGCATGTCTCAGGCCTTTGCTAATCACTAGAGGCAACAGAACAGAGACTGCAATGTGGTGCTTTTGTTCTGGCTGAGGGAGATGAGCGGCAGGCCAGGCCACATACCTGAGGCCTCCTCCACAAATGCCACACATAATGGGCAGGGGGTCCCAAAACATTTAGAAATTAAAATAAATGGTTTATTGATTTTTTTTTGTAGTGCTGGGGATCAAGCCCAAGGCCTTGTGCATGATAAGTAAGCACTCCACCACTGAGCCACATCCCCTGGCCTGAAGCAATATTTTAAGGAACCAAAATCAATGTACAAATCCACAGCAAACCAGACATCAAAATTTAAATGTTGTGTTGGAGAAGTGAAGATGATAAAGAAAGGGAGGGGGAGGCTGTTGGACAGGTGCTCTTTCAGAGGGAGGGAGAACCCAGAGTCATTGGAGGGAGCAGCTAGGCACAAGTCTGGGAAAGACACGACTCACTCCCCCCGAGACAGGGAACAGCAAACTGTTTCCCCGGAGGCGGGAGAGGAGGTGGCTGTGTGGCTTGAGGTTAGATAGGGAAAGAAAAGTGGCCAACAGGAACTTAGAATGGTAGCTGGGGTCAATTTACGTAAGGCTTTGTATATTCTTAGAATATTTCTCTAAAACTAAAAATGAAAAGTAATTTTTGTCTTGAATTATCTTAGTAACCACCTAATTTCCACTATACTTTATTTTAACCTTTGTCGAGGAAGCTTAAACCCAGAGCTTCCTGGGCACACACTCTACCTACCACTGACCCACACCCCCAGTCCTTATTTTAACCTGCTTTGGGACACCCTACCGAGTGTGACTTTAAATGATGACTGTAAATTTTTTAAAACTCCTAATACATAGTTTTATGTTCACTCTTGATTGCTCTGTATGTCATATTTTTCCAGACAGAATGGCGAACTGTGGTTAGGAAGAGCCTATGAGTAGAACTATCAGGAAGCCAAGGCTTTGATGGTTTATAAGTCTGAAACAGCGGGGAACTATTGTTAACAGCTTAAAGTATGCAGTGGCTAGTAGCTTGTGAATGGAATGCACACATGTATAAACTGTACAAAACATTTCTTATATGCTAATAGATAGTTTTCTGAGAATAGGTTTAAAGTTTTCATCAAATTCCGAAATAGGTCTGAGGACTCCGAAAAAGTTAAGAAACACCAATTTGGGGTTGGGGATGTGGCTCCAAGGCAGAGTGCTCGCCTGGCATGCATGAAGATCTAAGTTCGATCCTTAGCACTGCCAAATGAAAAAGAAACCCTGGTTTTACTAGAGACTGGTTTTTCCTCTTTATGGCTTCATTCTTCTCTTCAAATCCACAGCTCAATGGGGACAAAGTTGTCCCCAAGGATCCTTGTAAGGAAATCTTCTTTACTGGTTCCTTCAACAAAAGCAGTGGGAGAGGAAGCAGACAAAAATGGCACCTGGAGAATCAAATGGCTCAAATCAGTAAAGTGCACACAGCAGCTGATGTGGCAGCCAGGTCTCAACCCCAAATAGTTACTATTAATGATGACAAGAAGCCACACACAAGTTGTATCTGGGTATAGTGTCACGGAAGCACAAAGTAGCCTGGAGACCAATATTCTAAAAGAGAAAATCAAGGAGGAAGAGGAACCTCCAGATGCCTGAGCTGCCTGAGTGCAGCAGACATTGCATTTTGAGCTTTCTGAGCAGGCATTTCGTGGAGGCTGGGGTCATTCTAGGGTTACAGCTTTATGCTGCTAGAAACTGTGCCAGATTTTGACCAAATCTCTTAGGGTAAGAGTTTGGAGGGAGACCTCATGTGCCAAGGGTTCTGCAGCTCTCACAGTTTTAGGGTCTGCCCAGAGTGGGCTTGTCATCCCTCTCCAAATGAGCCTGTACCTTCTTTTGGTGTAGTGAGAAGATGTATCTGGAGTATATACCAACCAGACTCTTCTAGGCACTGAGGTGCAACAGGAAATAACACAAAGTGCCTCACCCTACAGGAATTACAGTGCTTGTGATTGCCACTAAGTCATAAACCAATGAGAGGGCAACTGATTTAATTTCTATCACTCACAATAACAGATATCCCAAGCCTATAGACCTTGAAGTTTTCACATCCACATGTTTTTCTGGGCACCTGTTGCCAAGTGGAGACTACTTTCAACATGGTAACTTCCAATCATGAAAGTCTGCTGTATGGGCAGTAGATGGGCTTTCCCCTAATATTTATAATACTTAAAGGAGCCTGACAGAATCATGGACTTTGCAAGGGATTTGTGTTCTCATTACAGATAATATGGCATGTCTCTTGGAAACAGCATGGGGATAACAGTGTATTCTTTATAAGAACCAATGTACTATATAACATATTAATTACATCTGCTTCTTAACAAATAAAAATTTTTTAACTTGGGCTTCAGGAGGCTGTGGGTGAAATACACGTACCTACTGTATGCAAAATTTCAGACTGGTACCACATACACTGTGAGCGGGTGGGTGGCAATCTCAGAAAGCCATGGGCCTTCGACAGAAGCGCCTACTCCCCTAGAATCTGTTGTAACATCACAGGGTTTGTCGCGGGTGCTTAGGTCACACATGGCGCTCAACACAAAACAATAAATGTTTTCCGAAATGATAGGTTCACAGAATGTGCCAGATCTGCAGTCACACAAGTCTAGGGTGGGATGGGGCCAAAGAGCGGTTGGTGCTCCTGACTCATACTCACCCTCGCTGCCCTCCCGGAGCGTGGGCAAGCGATTCCGAGCGTACAGCAGAAACCCAAGGACCCACTGCAAAGAGGAAGAAGCAACGCGTTGGGACCGGGAGTGGCAGGCACGCTCCCCAACCCCCAGCGCTGGAAGACACGCCAGCTGCGCTCAGCACCTGGCGACACTCTCCAGGGCAACCGGCGCTTGGCAACGGCTTCGCCCCCGCCTCACACGCCAGCCGTGCCGTGCCCCGCCCCGTTGCGTCGCCGGAAGTGTCGCCATCTTGACGCGCCGAAACTGGCCGTCGCTTTCGCTCTACACCTGGGCGGTGGTGGCTTCAATGTTTGGGGGCTGGTTCTGACGCTGATTTTAGGATGGGTTGCGACGGGGGAACAATCCCCAAGAGGCATGAACTAGTGAAGGGGCCGAAGAAGGTTGAGAAGGTCAGTAATGTGGGCCCGTTGGGAACCGAAAGGGAGGGAGTATGGGCGCCCCCAGGGAGGGAGGGGAGAGGAAGAAGGGGCCGACGGAGTTCTAGACCTGGAACTGCTGCTTACCGTTATCTCCATCTTCAGACATGGAAATTGAGGCTCAAAGCAGAGGGTTGCGGAGGTAGTTAAGTGGCAGAGTCAGGATTTGAACCCTGTCATTCGTAACGTTGATAAAAGTAGCTACTATTTCTTGAGCTTTGTAAACATTAATTTCACTTCCTCAGAGGTCTTCCCAACACCTCCTAACCTTATGAAAACAGATCTTTGTCTTATAAACTATTTGGCCACCCTGCACACTGTCTTCATGGTTAATCCATATCGGTCTCCTCTCCAAACAGACGGTAAGCTCCTGATGGAGGAGACTGAACCCCTTTTCCCTCTAGAACTGGCACAATTTCTGGCACAGTAAATATTTTGAATGAATGAGTGAATAATTTCCAGTTCTCACAAGTAATGGAGCAAATTATACATAGTGTTTTTCATGCTAATGGCAGAGAAATGTGAGTCCAAGGAAGTAAACTTACATGGCCAGGGTCACATAGCTGGCAGGTAGTGAAGATTCCCATCTTTGGGGTTAACTTGGGATTTCAAAGTTAGCAAGAGTAATGACCTTTTAATAATGTAATACATGCAAAGCACCTAATACAGTGCCTGATGCATGTGGATACTCGATGTATTCTGATTCAGTGGCATGAAAAATCTTTTTAAAAAGTAAATACCATATGTCACAGTTTATTTGAAACACTCCAGTGACTTCCTGTCACATTCAGACTAAAATCCCATCAAGTCCTGTGGGAACAGATCCCTGCACCTCATCTTTTATCTCAGTCTAGCTCTTTCATTCTGTTCCAGCTACACAAGCCTGTTCCTCCGCCCAGAGAATTTCATCAACATGAAGTGTTCTTCATTGAGATAGTGGTGATAGTTTCTTCATTCAGTATTTTTTTTTTTGGTACTGGGGATCGAACTCAGGTCCTTGCGCTTGCGCAGCAGGGGGCGAAACCACTGAGCTAAATCCCCGACCCCATCATTCAGTTCTTTACTCAGCAGTCATCTGCTAAACTGCTCTTTAACTTCCAATTGCTCCCGTCTTCCTCTGTTCTTACTTTTCTTTCTTTCTTGTCTCTCCCTCTCATGTCACCCAGGTCCTTTGTATGACTTGGCTCTGTGGCCTGGATAATGTGTCTGCCACATAATCGACACCCAGTAAATACACGTTGAATTCAAGAATGAATAAGCATCCAAGAGGAGGACGTGTGCCCTCTGGTTATACCTACACATGTACAGGCTAAGGGTGGATATTAGCATTCATGGAAGCTTCTGCCAAAAGAAAAAAAAAAAATTCAGCTCACTTTTGTTATCCTGTGTCCAGGGCCGAAAGGCTTGGCAAAAAACATGTTAGAGGGCCAGAGATTTAGCTCAGTGGTTCTGCTGCCTGCCTTGCAAGCGCACGGACCCAAGTTTGATCCCCAGTACCAAAAAAAAAAAAACATGTTAGAAGGGGATAGAAAAAAAGAAATGGTGATCTGAAACAACTGAAATGCTCACACAGGATGGTTTCTATTAACCTCGCTCAGAAAGAAATACTTATCATGGTGTACACTGCTTTAGACCCTGGGGATAACAGAGGACAGAGCAGTCCGCCTTTCCTAGAGCTTACATTTCAAATTCATATTGTGAGTAAGAAGCATTCGTTTATTACACATAAGAAGTCTATGCCTGTGTCTCTGTGTCTCGTTCCTGAATCCCTTGGGATTTCCTGGGTGAAAGGATAGTCACTGTTCTAAAGAGGTAACTGATGGGCTCCTAACTGGGGCTGCTCACCAGAAAGACCAGGCCATGATGAGAAGCTTATGATTCTCAGCACCATCACCTATGCTCCAGGAATGAAGAGAAACTGGAGACTGAGTTAATAATTGTGCCTTCGTGCTGAAGCCTTCATAAGGGCCCTGAGCCGTGGGGTTTGGGGATCTTCCAGGTTGCTCCTCATGAGTACAGCTCCTGTCGTGAGACTCTTTCAGTCCTCACCCCGTACACCCCTACCTGGCTGATCACAGGAATCATTTAAAGCACTTTAGTAATGAGTCAGCAGTAGCAAGTAAACTGTCTGCTTGTGGTCTGTGAGCCACTCTATCAAATTACCAAACCTGGGGGTGGGCTTGTGATGTCTGGGCCAGGAGGATCGCCAGGAGTTCCAGGCCTGCGGGGGCTACATAGTGAATTTAAGGCCAGCTCGAACCACATCGCAAGACCCTGTCTCGGGAGAAAAAGAAGGGAGGGCAGATATATGAATATGGTGTCTAGAGCTAGCCTGCCTGGGTTCTCATCCTAGCTGTTATTTCTTTGTCACATTTATTCGGGTCATGTCACTGAACCTCTTGCTTCAATTTTCTCATCTCCAGTGGTAAAAATACTAACCCAGAGGGTGTTTATGATTGAAAGCGTTAGGCACAAGCCACAGAAACTGCTTAGCGCAGTTGGTGGCACACAGAAGGCACTAAATAGCTGTCACTGCAAAAAATTAAAAGTTCAAGGCTTTTTCTTTTTCTTATTCATCTTTTTCCTTCTTTCTCTCAAATGTGCCACACTTAGAACAATCAGGTTGGGTACTGTAGAGTGAGAAAGAATGGGACATGAAATACTACACAGTGGGAAAGACATCTGAGCTGTGGAGGGCCTTATGTCTGGGTTTCCATAGTCTGGCTACTTCAGCACTTTTATGTAGCTGTAACAGAATACTTGTGATTGAATAATTTATAGAGAAATTTATTTCTTACATTTTTGGGGGCTGGAGAGTCCATTGTCAAGGCCCAAATCGAATGAGGGTTTGGGGTTGGAAGCCAAGGCTTTCACACTGGGCTACATCCCCAGCCCTTTTTTATTTTTAAATTTTTAAAATTTGCTTTTTGCACAATTGATGTTTAAACCCGGGGCCGTAGCATTGGGCTACATCCACAGCCCTTTCTTTAGATTTTCTTTTCAGACGGAGTCTCACTATGTTACCCAGGCTGGGCTTGAATTTGTAATCCTTCTGCCTCAGCCTTCCAAAGTGTTGGGATCACAGGCATGTGCCACCATGCTTAGTGCCAGCCTTTTCTTATTTTGAGACAGGGTCTCAGTAGGTCACTGAGTAGCCCAGGCCAGGTAGTATCTCGCAGTCCTCCTGCCTCAGCCCTGCAGAGTGCTAGGATCATGAGCATGTGCCACCACGCTTGGCTAGGGTGCGGGCCTTCTTGCTGCAGACTGAGAGGTGGCATGGGCCATCACCTGCTAAGAGGTTTGCACATAAGGAAGCCAAGCCAGCCCTTGGTGCAGACCCGCTGTGAGATAAGTGACTAAGCATTATTAGCTCATTAATCTGAGTGGATTAAATCCACCTGTGAGGGTGGCGGCCTCATGTTTTTGAAAGGTCCCACCTGGTCCCACTGCTCTCACCGGGGATTTCAGCGTGAACTGGGGACACTCAAGCCACAGCGGTGGGTAAGGGTTTGATGCGCCCTGGGAGAAGCAGCAAAACACTGGCTGCTGCTCGGGTGAATTGGAGATTCTGTAAAGAATTACGTCGCCTTGTTCTGCATTTTAAAAAAGTCTTTTCAATTCTCAGTCTTTAAATTCTGCAATGATGTTGGACCCTTTCCCAGTATTAGAAGTTAATCTGCACTGCTTTGTTTTGGTACGGCCTCCCCAGTCTACTGTTAATATTTATACACAGCCCACATAAATGGTTCAGTGATGTGATATAAACTTTTTGTATTGTCTTTAGATGGACCTTTGACATAGTATTAATTACTTAAGACTTTTGGGCCGGGGATTTAGCACAGTGGTTACGCCACCTGTCTCGAAAGCACAGGGACCCGAGTTCGATCCCAGGTACCAAAAAAAAAAGACTTTTACATTTCCAACTTCCTGTGACACTATCTTTGATTTAAAAAATAAAAACATCACTGGTAGGTATTTTACATAAACTTTGATATGCAGAACTGTGAACCATGTGTCTTTCAGAGGTAAAATTAATTGAAAGAATTTTTTGTTTTCTTTTATTAGGTTGACAAAGATGCTGAATTAGTGGCCCAATGGAATTATTGTACTCTAAGTCAGGAAATACTAAGACGACCAATAGTTGCCTGTGAACTTGGCAGGTATGGTTCCTTACTTAACCAAGACAAGTTTATTCAGTGACTTTGAAAAAAATTTAAATGTGTAAATACAGTTCTTGAGTCATCAGGTAAGAATTATTTCAAGCAAATCCATGAGGCATAGGTTAGTATTCCTTGTCTGTGGACATCATTCTTTGTCCTAATCCATTTGGTTTATTTAATCTGTGGTTAGAAAACCCAAGGGCCACAGGGAAGACAGGGGAAGGGAAGGGGAAGTGAAAAGATGAAGCCGTGTGTGTGCCAGAACCCGAGGTGAGTAGATTTATTATGTATCACAGATAAGCTAAATTGATGTTTTTTTAAAAAAGAAAACTCAAGGGCCAAGTTAGAAACCTAAAGCATGGAGGGGCCCAGAGCAATCTGGGAGAGATGGGGGAGTGGGGCAGCCAGAGAGCTCAGGTCCAGCCACTTCTTGCAGTTCAAGGAGCATGGGCCTCGTGATTCTAAATCTTCTGATTTTTTTTATTTTTGAAGAAAAGTTAAAAATAGGAACTTTTACAGTAAATTTCCCATTTTTAAAAATCTTTGTTCAGGTTGCATCAGCTCTTACACTGCTGTTTTGCCACTCTTGGTTTAAATGAGTTTCTTTGTGTGCCTTGGTAGTGGTCAGACAGGGTGAAGTGTGTCTTGTAGTGCAGGAAATTGCTTGTGTCAGCTGCAGGTGAGTTCTGAGTGGTGCTCGAGCTGCTGCTTTGTCATTTGGAAGTGGATTGTGGCCACTGTAATGTGATCAATCCTCATTCTTGCAGACTTTATAACAAAGATGCTGTCATTGAGTTTCTGTTGGACAAATCTGCTGAAAAAGCCCTGGGGAAGGCAGCATCTCACATCAAAAGCATGAAGGTAAGATGAGACTCTGGACTGCTCCAGGGGTCTCAGTAGGTGAAGGTCATTTTGTAGAGTTCATGTACATCAAAGACTAAATTCAGAGCCAGGCATGGTGGCACACCTGTGATCCCAGCACTCAGGAGGCTGAGGCTGAGGAGGATCACTGCAAGTTCAAGGCCAGGCTGGGCTACATAGTGAGACCCTGCCTCAAAAAATAAAGAAAACAAACAAACAAGGACCAGGGATGTGGCTCAGTGGCGTAGTGTCTGCCTGGCAATTACAAGGTCCAGAGTTTGATTCCTGGTACCAAAAAAAGAAAAAAAAATAGTGAATCTTACTATGAACTCTAATTCTATCTGGGCTTGGTGGCATAGGCCTATAGTTCCAGTCACTTGGGAGGCTGAGGCAGGAGGCTCCCTTGAGCCCACAAATTTAAGACCAGCCTGGGCAACATAGACCCTGTCTCATAATCAAATGAACCCCCCCAAAAAAAGAACCACTAATTCTATAAAAATACACCCTAAATGTAAAATTCAAGTAGCTTAAGTTATTTGGGTTTGGTTGGTTTTGGGTTTTTTTGTGTGTGTGCTAGGGATCAAGCCCAGGAGCCTATCCATGGTAGGCAAGCATGCCTACTTCTGCTGTTAGGAAGTTATTAGCAGTTAAAATTGTTTCATAAAACTGGAAAAACATCTTAGTAAAGGAAGTTTGTTGAGAAGACAGAATGTTTTCAGTCTAGTTAATGGGAACAAAATGAAAATGATAATGAAGAATTTAAGAGCCATTGGGCTTTTGAAGCCTTCATCTCACCATAAGGAACTGTCTTGAGGACCCGTGGCCAGTGAAGGCTTAACCAGAACCAGATCCTCGGCTCCCAGCTAAAGCTTTAGGGTTCTTTACTTTTCCTTTCTTTTTTTTATTATATTAGGCTTTTGGTCTGAGTTCTTTGGGTAACTACAGGATAGGCTCCTTTCAGGCAAGGTAATTCTGAAACACATCTTTTGGCAGTGCTGTAGAAATTGCCATTCTGGTTTCAGTTATCTTTTACTTTGGGAAGAGAATTTGTTACTGAAAAACACATGGCAACATGAATTATCTTGCCTCAAAAATTCAATTATCATTGAAATTAATTCATATAATTCTAAATGCAAAACACTATAGTTTTGGGGTTTTTTTTGGTGCCGGGGATCGAAAAAACACTATAGTTTTGTAGAGTTGATCCTTTAATACGCACACACACAGACACACACACCCCCCTCTCCAAGAAATTAGAGCAGTAGAGAAAAAGAATTCAGAGGAAACAGTGTGGCTATAGGAGATTGTCACCACCATCCCCAGATGCCCCCAGATGCCCCCAAGAGCAGGGAGCAGGCAGTGAGGGGGCCGCCCTCCAGCTGTCCTCCGGAGTATGGAGATCAAAACGGTCTCAATGGGAAGAAGCCCCGCTCTGTGCTGACATAGAGCTGCTGAATCAGACTCCTTGAAAAGTTGAATTTTTGAAAATCTGAACATTTGAGTCTCAAAATGTAACAGGGTTTTCTGGCTAATGATCTTGTTTAGATTCATTATGCTATGGCCCCACAGATTTTCCTACCTGTGCAATTCTGTCAACATGGATAGCAGAAGGGAGCAGCCCCAGCGAGGCGCCATCAGCGGGACCGAAAGAGCTCTTTTCTGAGTGGAACTAAGCGTCCTCACAGTGTTGGGCTGGTTTGTTTTCGGTGGTGCTGGATCAAACCCAGGCCCCACACTTGCTAGACCAGCGCTCTACCCCTGAGCTGTGTCCCAGCCCTGTGCAGTGCTTACTAAGGAGATGGTGCTTTTCCTTCAATAACAAAATGTGTGTAAAATAGATAACCTAGTTGATGGATGGTCTCTGGCTTATGATGGTTCAACTTAAAAAGTGTTTGATGTTGTGCTGCTACAAAAGTGATTCACATTTGGTAGGACTCATACTTCTGCTTGGATTTTGATCCTTTCCTGCCGCTAGAGGTTCAGGGCGGTGGCATCAGTGGCATCAAGCCACAGCCCCTGGCCAGTCCCATGGCCCCGGAGCCCAGCAGCCGTGCTTTCCCTGGCACCATGTACCTGAGCCGAGACACTCAGGGCTTAGGTGTCACCTGCATTTCACCCTGCCATAGGCCTGATCGGAGCATCTGTACTTGCTAGTCAGTGAATTTTAAAAATATTTTCTACACAATTTGTGGTTTAATTTTATTCTCGCATTTCTTGATGGCCAAGGCCAAGTGCTTAAGAAAAAAAGTTCATCTGGGAAGGGAATAAAAACCCAGTTTCTCTTTTGATTTGGGTGGTTATTGAGGCAAAAAATGATCAGTTTGCCCAATGAGTTCTTAAAACATGAATGGTTTTTCAGAGTGTGACAGAACTGAAGCTTTCGGATAATCCTGCCTGGGAAGGAGACCGAGGAAACACGAAAGGTGACAAGCACGATGACCTGCAGCGGGCGCGCTTCATCTGCCCAGTTGTGGGCCTGGAGATGAATGGGCGGCACAGGTCGGTAGTGATGTGGGGCAGGTGGGGCGATGCTGGTCTTGCCCGGGTTCTGTCTGTGTCCTGGGCTGTGCCAGGAGGAAACCCTTCCGCAGATGCCGCCTGGGCTCTGCCTGCCTCGTCTGCCCAGTGTGCTGGCTGTGGCTCTCTGTTCTTCTGTCAGAAAACTAAAGTAAAGTGGGCTTTCAGAAGTCCTCATGTGACACTTACAGGACCTGAGTGTGATTATTTAATCATCTTGTCCTCAGGGACAGAAAGCAAAAGGGCACATGTTTCCCGTGAAACAGCCCCCGTCCCTTGGGATTGTTAAAATCTGTGCAGTGGCCGACGGTGTTCAGTGCACAGCTGATCCTTCTGCTCCAGTCCCAGTGGGGACCATTGCTTGCTTTGAGCTTGTAGCTAGCACATCCTCTGAGTAGAACATCGGAAATCTTAGGGTCGAGATTGGTTACAGCAAATGTCAGTGACCTGTACATTTGCCTCTTTAAAGAATAAGCTGGGAGTAGTGGTGCACACCGGTAATCCCAGTGCACCAGAGGCTAAGGCAGGAGGATCCCCACCCATTCCTGCCCAGCCTGGATGTTATAGCAAGACTCTTTCACAAAAAACGAAGTAAAATAAACAGAAATGCCGAATGAGGTACTAGGTGCCTCTTTATAAGATGCAAACCTTTTCCCCACCCTTTAAAAATGCTTTCAACAGCAGGTGGGCCAGGCAGCCCTCTGAAATCTTGTGTCTAACACATGCAATATGGAAAGACGACATTTTTACCATTTTGTTCAGGAGAAGGGAAAGCATCTTGGGCAGGAGAAACATTGCACTGAACTCTCAGCAGCCCTGTTTAGTTGCCAGCACACTTGTGCACACCCATGTAACAGATGGTGCAGTGGCAGCTTCTCGGCCTTGTGCTGAGCTTGGCGGACTGCGCCAGACTCTGCCAGACTCTGTGGGCTCTAAACAGGCACCTGCATGCTCCTGGATTCGGAGAGAAGCAGAATGAGGCCTGGAGACCTTTTGCTCTGGAAGATTTTCCTCCTCTTCACATAATTTGAATGAAACCATTTAAGGCTACAGACTTTGTATAGATTTGCACATTTTGGTGCCAAGAGCATAATAAATATTCCTGGCCCCAGACTATTATGTGCCTCCCTTTTGAGGGCCCACACTCTTATTTCTTTGCGTGTACCTTAAAATTCTGCCTAAGAAATCCTTTTAAGTCTTTTTTTTGGTACTGGGGATTGAACTCAGGTCCTTGTGCTTGCGCAGCAGGCAGCAAAACCACTGAGGTAAATCCCTGGCCCTTCCTTTTATGTCTTTAAAAAAATAAAGCATTTATGGTTCACTCTTTGCCCTCGCATTTAGGTCAAGCAGAAAATATTGTGGCTTCCAGGCTCATTCACCTAACCTTGTGCCACCATTTTTTGTATTTTACTTATGTATCTGTATGTGTATGTCTTGAAGTTACCATCACATGACATAAAATTGACAGTTTCAAAGTGTTCACCTGATGGCGTTTAATACGTTCACACTGTTAGGCAGTCCCCACGACTGTCTAGTTCCAAAACCGCATTCATCGTCCTCGAAGAAAGCCCCATCCCCAGCAGCCCCCTCGCCCCTTCCTGCCCCTGGCAGCTACCAGTCTGCTGTGTGTCTCAGGGGTTCACCTGTCTGGATACTAGGGCAGACACAGGATTATGCGGCGTGTGACCGGTCAGGTCTGCTTTCCCACTTCTTGTTAAGAAAACGGTGGTTCACCCCACAAGAGGAACTGGCAGGAAGCGAGCCAGGACAGGTCCCGAGCAGGTGTTACCTGTGCTCCAGTTGTGGTGTCCCCGGTTCTGTACCCTTCTTCGGCTGCCTGATCTCTTCTCCTTTTTCTCTTCCCAGTTACTTGAACTCTGCCTGCTTTGGTTTTTTCCTGATTAATAGAGGCTCAGCACTGGAAAAGTTTGGATAATAAAGATTTAAATATATAGAAAAATAGAAATAAATTTCTAGTGTAATAAAAATATTGGGTCTTTGTTTAAAGAAAAATAATTTACCAATTTACTAATAATTAGCATCTATAAAATAGGATTTTGGGGGGGGGGTCTTAAACAACATTTAATGAATTTAAATTGGTTTTAGTTAGATTTTTATTAGGATGACCTGCATCTGCTATAATCTGTGGGAAATGGAGAGCGATTATGGGGTGGTATTTTAAAGGGTTATACACAGTATGCCGGTGGTTTCCGCTACCCCGGCCCCATCCGGTAGGAGCATCACACGCTGTCTGCAGTCCAGCGTCCGCCCTTCATGTCACGCACACCTCCTACGTTTGTCCGCCTCTGCAAGCAGACCCGCAGGCAGCCTGTTCTTCCAAACAGTCGTGGGTCCCATTACATATTTCTATCTCCTCTTCCTGCATTTTGTATCTAAATTTGAACATGTCTTCATGGCCTTGCATGCTGATTGCCTTCTTTCCCTGGTAGTAAGGATTCAGTCCAGGGCCTTCACACTGACCTGCATCCCTTCTTTTGGGGCAGAGTTGTGCTGCGTTGCAAGGCTAGGCTCGAGCTCAGGACCCCTTCCCCGAGTACTGGGACTGGGCATTGCCGCCACATCGGCCTTGTGCCTTCTGGTAGCTGTGTGGGTTTTGTAGTATTTAACCCACTCTCCTGTTGAGCATGTAGGTGGCTCCCTTCTTTTCCTTGTTACAGACAAGGCTGTGCTACGCAACCTAATAAGTATGTATTTGTGCTCTTGTGGGCATATTTCTACAGAAAAAATTGTGAAACAGTCCTTTACTTGCTGTTGCCAAATTATCCTCCTAAAACGTGGAGGTGGTGTGCCCACCCACCAGCAAGCGTGTTTGTGTCCTCAGATGGTTTCCAACTAGATACGTACATTTCTTTTATTACCTAATAGGTAAAACATTACATGGCATAATTTTTTTATATGACATAATTTTAAAATGCGTTTTTTTAACATTTGAGGTCAGCAATCTTTTTTATAACTTTGGACCTTTATATTTCTTTTGTGAACTGTATATTAATGCCCTTTGCTCATTTCTCTATTATATTATTAATTGCTTATTCCTATTTTTTCTATGAGTGTATTTGTTTGGTTTTTTTTTTTTTGTTACTGGGGACCGAACTCGGGTCCTTGCACTTGTGAGTCAGGCGGTGGAACCACTGAGCTAAATCCCCGGCCCTCTCATTTCTTTATTATATTATTATTGCTTTTAAAGATCTCTTCAAGGAACCAGGCATGGTGGCGTATGCCTATAATCCCAGTACTCAGGAGGTCAAGGCAGGAGGCTGAGGCAGGAGGATCGCCATGAGTTTAAGATCAGCCTAGGCTACATAGTGAGACCCTGTCTCCAAACAAGTAAATATGAGACTCCATTTAGAGCTGGGTGTTTAGCTTAGTGATACATGAGGCCTTGGGTTCAATCCCCAGTACTAGAAGGAAAAAAAACCCTTAAAGACCCTTTCACATATTCATAAAATAAACCCTGCACCTCATATAAATTTAAAATATCTTCTTGAGTACTTTACCTTTTGACTTTTTATTTTGTGATTGTAGTGTGTGTGTATATACATTTTTTCCTTTTTTAAATTTTGAACTTACCTTTCTGTTGTATTGTGCTGGGGACTGAACTCAGGGCCGTGTATATGCCAGTCATTGCTATGTTGTGAGCTACATCCTCAGCCCTCTGAGCTTTTTTTTTTTTAGTAAGATAAAATATAACCATTTTTACCTTGGTCTTTGTAAACTGAGCAAATGTTAGTTAATAATGCAGGTACTTGTTTTGGTCCTGTTTAAACCATTCTCCACGTTGGACTCTCTCTCCAGGTTTTGCTTCCTTCGGTGCTGCGGTTGTGTGTTTTCTGAACGTGCCTTGAAAGAGATAAAAGCAGAAGTTTGTCACACGGTGAGTTCTCGACATGCTCCATTTGTTCCTTCTTAGTAGCTGAGGGAGTGAGACATGTAGAATCCCTCACCTCAGTTTGTATGTGAATAGCCCTAAGTTCTGTCTGAAACAGGTCTAAGGGCTACTTCTCCACATGAATGCGCGTCATGGCTTCATTGCTGGAAGAAGAGACTCACAGCTGCTTGTGAGCTGAGCCTGGCCAGCCTGCCCAGCTCGGGCCACAGGGCTGTGTCCTGGACGTCCACACCCCACCTGTATTCCCTGTGTCCCATCAGCCTCAAGGGCCCTGCTGGTGAATCCTCATCTCCCATCCTTGTCTTCCCTAAGGACCTCCCACCTCCCTGCTCACTGTGATGCAGTTGTGTGCGGGTGTGTGTCCCTGCCAGCCCAGGGGTGTTTGAGGGCCGGGGTGGGGGGACAGGTATGTGCATCGCCTGCTCTCCAGGCTCATTCTCTCTGGGCTGTGCCCTCAGTTAACGGCTCCCGCAAAGGGAAACCAGGGCTTGGCTTTCACACTGGTGCTGCTGAAGCCTGGAGCCTCTGTGTCTTTGCACTCTTTGGCCCTGTTGAAGCCTGGCATTTAGCTCAGTGTCTCACGGGTACCAGCAGCATCTGGCTGTTGGCAGCCTGTACTCACTCAGCTTGGTGTCGGTAGGCCCAGAGCATTGCTCCGTGAGCAGCAGTGTTGGGCCGGGCCCTGTCATAGCCACTGAGGAATGGGTCCTGGAGGGAATGTCATTAGTGCGTGTGCTGCCCTCCTGCACCTGACTCCTTCTGGACAGACAGGCCCTCAAGGAAGTGAGCAAAGCCACATCCATTGTGAGAGGCTGGAAGGAAGCACACGGGGCCGGGCCGTAAGTCAGGGGCGGGACTCCCTCAGGGGTTAGTTTGAGCTAAGACCTAAAGGGCATGAAGGAACATTGTTGAAAAGTCCGAAGTCAAAATTCTTCTCTGAGATCTAAGGCAAACACTTAGCTGTAGTCTCTGTAAAAATGAAAAGAAAGTGAAACACTTCCAGCCTATAGTGGCACAGGATAAACATTCCCATTCTGAAAGGTAAAAGTAGGGGAATAGAAGGGAATGGGACCAAACCAACCCCAAGATCCAGCAGGGCAAACATTAAATCCTGTCGTTCCATGTCCAGCCCCCGGGACAATCTGTGGCAAGATGTGAATTCCAAAGGGTTTGGGCAGCTCCACCTCACCCTTGCCAGTGGTGTCTGTTCCCTCATGGCTTAACTCTGGGGCTGCCTTTGCTCCCTCCTTGCTGCTGTCCTCAGATGGTGCACATTCCTCCCTTTTCCACCATCCTGGGGTCTCCAGTGTACTTTCAGCTTCCCACACTGTCCTCTCGGGCATACTGCCTGGCCTCCCAGGCCTTCCTCTGAAATCTGGGTGGAAGCCTTCCTGACCCCTTCACTCTTACATTCTGCATGCGTCTAAAACCAACACCATGTGGTTGACACCAAGGTCTGCCACCAGCTGGAGCAGTAACTGAGCCCTTTCACATCTTCCTGGTGGCTAGAGAGGCCTCAGTGCCTGCATGACTGGGCACAGTGAGCTGAGTCTTGGGGAATCCGCTCCATTCCCCTAGCTGCTGCTGTTCTGGAGCATGGTGCTCTGGGATTCACTTCTCAAAGCTGTCTTTCACTTTGGCAATTTTGAGGCTTCAAAGGGTGGGTGCTTGATGATTCTTCACATGCCCTTGAACCATTTTCTCATTGTCCTGTTCCATAGTATCTGGCTTCTTTTTAATGCTAATCTTTTTTACAACCAACTCCAACTTTACTGGAGCTTCCTTTCTAGCCAAACTCAAAACTTTTTGTATCATTCTGCTGCACTGTTTGCTCTTAATTCTCAATGTAGAGCTGACTAAAAGCCCCCAGCAGTACCCAAGCCACAGCCTGAATGTTTGGCTGCCTTGAAATTTCCTCCACCAGATTAATTTGTCCACTGCCCTTAATCTCAGTCTCCCTAAAGGTCTCCAGTCATGAGTAAAATGCAGACACATTTTCTGCCAGTGTGTGACATGTAACCTGGAGTCCAGCTGCAAGCTGAACCCTCCTGAGCCTGGTCTTCTCGTCTGCTTTTTCATCTGCACACTGGTCTTCTGAGCTCTGACCAACATCTGCATCAGGCTTGGCTCACAGTATTGAGCTGCTTCTCCAGCCAGCATCTCCACAGCTTTCCAGAGTCCTCCCACTAACCAGTTTCATTCCCAGCACTGCAAGAAAAAACAGTTTCTGAAGTTTAGGAATACTATACTAAGTATTTTGATCCAAGTTGAGTAGCTGCTGTAACAAAACAATGCCCAAGTTCCAGAGGCTTGTAACAGTGAAAATTCCCTGTTGGACAGCTTCCTTCCAGGCGTGACTCGGAGTCCCTGTGCCTGCCATGTGGTAGCTGTAACCTCTGGTTTGGGACACACACTCCCTTCTTCCCTTGACCCAGTGGCAGGGTCAAAAAGCATCTCTTGGAAGGTAAAATGGCACCTTCGCACCTGCTTACGGTTCGGCAGCCAGAGCTGAGTCTCGTGGCTGCTCCTAACTGTCATGCCTGGAGAGGTGGCCTCTGGGGAAAGGCCCTTTCTGCCAGACTCTGCCGAAAGGAAGAATGATGGCACAGCTTTGGGAACCAAAATGCATCATGAAAATGTGAATGAGAAGTAAAAGGCTAAAACAAATATAAACACTTTGTAGGTGTATGTGAAATGTAGAGAAATTGTTGGAAGTAAGAACAATGTCGGGACCCCAGTGGTGTTTAGGGTTTGTGTTTTACTCTGAAGTTTCACCAGTATTGGGCTTTTCAGTTCACTAGAAGACTCAGAGGTTTGAAATAGCTTGGTGCCCCGTCTGAAGCGCATGCTGTGCACAGTAGCTTTCAGTTAATAAGATCCAAAGAGATAGAGTTGCTAGGTCTTTGTTTTTACTATAAACAGAGCACTAGCCCCTCAGATTAATGGTGTTCCCCTGCTGTGCTCTTCACCTCTTGTGATAACCTGATTGGAGCACAGTGAGGTGCTTGTTACTCAGGATGTCACTTGGGAGGACTTTGTTTGTTTTTTAAGAAATACAGAATCTCAGGACCTGGGATTTAGCTCAGTGAAGTCACCTACTTTGCAAGGGCAAGGTCCTGAGTTCGGTGCCCGTACCAAAAAAAATACAGACTCTCACGCCCCCACTCCAAGGCTGCGTCTTAACAGGACCCCAGGATGGTCTGTCCACACAGTAGTAAGGTATGGATAGAAGGGTGTGGTCAGTAGCATTTGACTTGGCTTTCTGGCTTCATTTATTTAGGCTTTGTAGATAGCTGGAAAGGGTGTGTGGGTGTTTTAAAGTCAGAAGTAAGACAAAAACTGTGTACTTGTGCTGTGTGTTTACATCGTTTTCATGGAGGGAGAATGGGGACAGAGGTAGGGAATGGTTTTCAGAAGTGGTCGGCTAATCTGATTTTCAGGGTTTGGACCCTGTGAGGAGGCTTAGCTTTGCGAGTGTTAAGCCTCAAGGTATCACATAATACACGGTGAGGCAGCCTAGCTTTATGTGTAAGAGAGATTTACTGGAAAACTTGAACAGTAAACTTGACCTGTTCCGTTCCCAGAAAGCTAAAGAGGGTGTCTCAGGACCCCGTACATGTACCACCTGGGCACAGTGCATGTGAGACTTTTGCTTCATGGGCTTTAGTTTACTCTTTTACCTGGCGGATGAACACCCTGAAAGCCTTACTCGGAAGCAAGGAGCACTGGCTTCTTGTCGGTCCTGTGCTGACAGAGGTGCCCCTTGCCTGGCTTTCCTCCTGCCACTGGAGCCCCGATCTCCTGCCGTCTTTCCCCTGTGCCTTCACTTTTCTTCGTTTTAGTTCATTGTGCTGTTCTGAGATGGTTTGTTCTGGAAGCTTCTCTGTGGTATTTGAGCCTGGTGGGCACAGGTCCATGCTCCCTTGGATGAGGTCAGGCGGTGTGCTAACTTGGCAGCAGGCCGCCTGCCTTCACCAGAGCCCAGCGCCACCTTCCCACCCTGTGGTCCTGAGAAGTTTCCTCCGTCTCCTGTGCCTTGGTTTCCTCCTCTGAGCAGTGTTGGACACTCTTCAGAGCGCCTCACCCCCACGCATATGTGTGCTTCTGACAGCCCATGGGTAGTTGCTCTGCTGGACAGTGCGTTTCAAGTAACTTGAGAAGAGCTAAATTTTAGTGAGTTTTTATAAAGCGTGGAATACATAGTTACAGTGAATCTGAGCTTTTGGAACAAGCAGCCAGCAGACGGAGAGAGCTGTGTGTCCCTGTGAGCTCGGAAAGCGGGGTGACCCCGAGAGGCCCAGCGGCTTTGGTAGCGTTTCTGTGTGGGGAGTTTCAGTTTGCTGAGCTGCTTGTGTTTTGCCTTTGGAATATTTTTTTCTTTAGTTTCTTACCTGTGGCTCCTGTTCTTCCTTTCTTAGTGTTTGGAGGGAGAGAGTATATAGCAGGCTTTCAGCACATGTATAGAGACAGCTCAGTGGCACCAGGAGCAGCATTAAAGTTAGGAACTTTACAATGGAGGCACCGTGAGTCTGTGAGGTCGCATAAGGCCTTGCCTGCTCTGTGCTGTCCAGCGTGGTAGCTCTAGGCCACATGCACCTAGTTTTTTAAGTTAAAGTAATTAAAAATTTAAAAATTAACTAAAACTCAGTATTTACTTCCTCAGTCTTGGCTTGCCACACTTCTAATGTCCAGTGTCCTTGGCAGTTGTGGTAGCGTGGGCAGCTCAGGCATGAGTCCATCCCGGAAGAGATCCCAGCAGAGAGTCACTGAGAACACGGAAACCTCCTAGGCAGCCTTGCTAAGGAGCAGGGTCCACCCCAGGGTTTGATTGATTGTGTATCTGGGGATATTGGGGAGTGAACCCAGGGCCTTCTCCCCATGCTACATCCCTGTCTCACTAAATTACTAAGTCGACCAGCCAGGCCTTGAACTTGGTCCTGTTGCCTCCGTGTCTAGTGTGCTAGGGTTCGAGGTGTGTGCCACCACGCCCAGCTCAGCCCAGCCCAGGTTAATTTCATCTTACCCGGAGAAGTAGACTCTTAACATATTTTTCTGGGATTTGTCAGAATAAAATGACACTGCTCATCCAACAAAAACATCTTTAGATAAGCACATGTTCATTTTCAGTGGGAATTTGTTCTTTATTAATGTCTCATACACAAGAATATCCAGGCCCTCAGAACCAACTGCGTTGTGCACCAGCTCGCGTGTGCATCACCAGTGGCTGCTCGGGTCACTCTTCTCCTGTGATTTCTTTCCCAGAGCTGTAAAGCAGTCTACGGTAAAGGCTCGTCTATTGCATATTTCTAAATTCATTTTAGGGCTAGTTTATACCCAGGAATGACTGTCCCATTCTTCCTGCTCTCGTCCTGTGTTCTGTTGTTTCAAGTCAGCAAACAGAAGGTACCAACAAGAGCACGAACGCTCTTCAGTGGTTGGGCTTCACGTTGAAGTGACTTTGCTGTTGAAAATGCCAGTGCGGTTCTACAGAGACTTCTGCCTGTTGTAGGACCTTAAGTCTGTACCACCTCTCCAAGCACATAACCACAAGGGGGTCTGCTGAGGGCTCAAATTTGTGGCAAACAAAGAAGGCGACTGAATAATCCACGGTAAGTCTCCCAGTCCATATAAGCAGGTGTCTTGGACATAGTGGCCTGAGGAGAGATATGCACACACTTAGCTGCCTGTTTCCCCACCTGTTCATACTCACACTTTCTCTCACTTCATCTGGAAGGCCTCTTTGTTTCACAAGAGTTCAAATTAAGCACCATGCTGCTTTAGTACAAGCTACATAGCATTTTGAATTTATAGCAGAAAAGGACATTGTCTTTCTTTTTGTTAGTGATTTCCAAAATGGTGGCTGCTGTAGATGAATACTGTGCACTTGAGCTAGTCATGAACACAGGAAGATGAAATAGCACTCATTTGCCTGGTAAAATCTAAGTTCTCATAGGTTCTGCTTCTGACTTCTCATTTTTAATAGGCCATTGCTTCCTTCATTGGTTGTTGAGAGAGTTTGATACGAGTGAGATGATTCAAATGGGAATTACAGTCAGAATCCAGTGCTACTCAGATCTCTTCAAGGCAGACTCAGCACTTTTTAGTGCCACACAGTATTGGGCGCTTGCTACACTCCTGACCCTTGACACCACATTGCAGGGTTCCCATTGGCACCCTTGGTTTGCAGGTGACAGGTGAGGGCTCGGCTTCCCCAGGGAGAGGCCATCTGCGGGAGTCCCCGCGCTCTGCTCAGCGCCTCCTGCACTATCCCAGCAGGCTAACAGTCCTACTTCCAAAAACCTGTCTTAAGGGAAATACCACCCTCAGGGTAGGAGTTATTGCAAGCACAAAAGTCTGTGCATTTGTGAGACCCAAAAACATGGGAAGGAGCCTTGCTCGAACAGCGCCGGGTCCACCTCTGTGAAGGGCTCAGCCGGCACAGGGTCGGCATTGTATACTCAGCGGCATTTGTCGGGACCACAAAGCGTTGCACTCTCAGGAGAGTTACTTTCTACTAGCAAAAGCATAGATACCGAGAAAGCATTGTGAAGAACTTAGGGCACAAGTGAAAATCAGATCAGTGCCACCTTGATTGTAGCCAGAGAGCTGTAATTTAGATGGACATGGATTTGAACTGAAGGGAATACGATAAGTGGAATGTTCTCAGAGTCCTGGTTCTGCCTTTGTGCTGACTGGCTGTTGTAGGGGACAGGGGAAGGGGACGTTACCAGAACCTCTGCAGTGAGTCCTGGTCTCCTGGGAGCCACGGCAGCACGCGGCAAATTACAGGAAAGGTAGAAAAATGAGACTGAGAAGAAGCTGAGCTTTGGGTCTGATCAGTGCTGCTCTGGGCAACAAAGACAAAAGCCCCCAGCTTACCACACCTTTTATTCAGTACATCGGGAGAAACAGATGTAACAGATGACTTGCAGAGAGTTCAATAGTTCACATTGGGATAAACAAGGTGTAACGGAAGGCTTGCAGGGAGTTCAGTACATCTCCGGCAAACAAGATGTTAATCAGTCCAAGAACAAGGAGGAACTGAGCAGATGTTTGTTCTCCCAGGATGTTTCTTGTCCTGGAGAATCACAGCATCACTGGATCACTGAAGTCTCAGTTGTGACCCGAGGCCAAACTGGAGTTATTCTGTAGCTGGGCTGTAGGCAAGAGAACTAGGCTAACCAAATGATTTTTCCCTAGAATTATGTAGCATTGCTCCCAACAGGCTGTGAAGAGTCTCTCAGCCACTGACTGACAGGTTGGCTGTCATTCTGCAGGCAGTTAGGCTGAGACCTACCCAGTGGCCCAGGCTGTCACCCCTGTGCAAACACTGAGGCATTCAGGTTGCTGCTGTGTGTATGCATCCTGAGCCATCATTTATTATCACAGCAGCAACCTTTATTGCCCTTTTACACCACTTGCACATTATTTGGGGGAAGAATCTGAGCCCCTTGCTTTTCTGAACACTTACCTGCTGGTCCTGACAACCCCAGTGTGCAGTGAATGATAGGCACCTGCTTTCTAAAGAAAGGGCAGGGTGTTAACCTGCTGATAACGGTCCCCTTCTAACTGTGAATGGCTCCCCAGTCAAATCATTATCTGCCTTTTTAAAAACACTTCACTAGAAGTCACCCCAGCACTTCTGACCTGTGGGGCCTGGCAGTGCGCAAGGCAGCAGGAATGACTTGTCTTGGAACTGTGTGTGGGAGTCAACAGTTCCTGTTTGTACACAGCCTGTTTATTGTATTCGTCTTAAACAGCTCGAGTGCTGGCTGGCCCTCGTTTATTTGGCATGTCTCGGGCACTGTAATCAAAATTCTCTAAGGAGGTCAGACCGTGTGTGACCTGTTGGGCTTCCCCATGAGGTCTGCCTTTGGCAATTAAAACTCAGGGGAGGGGATTCTATAGCTAGAATGAACTAAGTCTGTAGCTCCAAGATATGGGTGAAAAACTATCCAAAACATATACAGTTTCTAGTAGGCTAGAAAATGATCCTTTGCAGTTATTAAGCCTATAATAGTTATCTTTTTACATATTTCTTTTAGAGACCATGCAAGCAAGACAAGTGTGAAGCCCACAATTCTAGAACAGGCAGCAGACTATCTGTAATGTAAGACCGAGGGCCTTACCAAACGCTCCGAGGAGCTGACTGCAGTGACGAACACCCGGAATGGAACACACCGGACAAGTTGGAAAATAAAACAGACCTTTATTAGTCTGGCCAGACGGCACTCCCAAAGCAAAATAGCTTAGAGAGGCAACTGGCTCAGAATCCGAGGCTGTTTTATAGGGGGTTGAGGGGGAGGTTAACATGTAGATTTACGAAAAAAAGGAACAAAGGTTAGTGGTCAACTGTCACGTACTGATGGTCAGCAGACATACACACTAATGGTCACGACCATCACGTACTGATGGTCAGCAGACACACTGATGGATTGTTCTACAGGTAGTGGGCCCAGGAACATTCGTTCTCCGGACAAACAAGGGGTTGAGCAATTTTACTTAGGAACTCTGTTTCATTACAGATTCTATTATCCTAGAACTAACAAGCACATTTTAACCATTAATTTACAAGTACAATAGAGGCTAGGGGAATAATTGATTTTGGAATCATGCAGTCCCACAGTAAAGAGCCAGAGAGACATCGTTTGGATTTGCTGGCCCAGAGTTTGGGTCCTAACTGCTCAATTCTGCCCTTTAGTGTCATAAACCATATGCTAAGTGAATGGTTGTGGCTGTGTTCCAGAGTAAAACTTTATATAAATAAGCAGCAGACAGCCAGCGGACTCCAGAGTGATATTTTCATCGTCCATTTGCTTCTGATATAGTGTAGGCCATGGTAGTTTGTCGACCTGCTCTGAGGTGTACACCTGTATTATCCAGTTTTGTATTCTAATCGAGGGACAGAGAGCTCATTTGTAATTGAGTTTGAATTGTAGGAGTGGGCAGAAAAAGCCAGATTGTAGTGTTGCTGTTGTTGTTGTTATTGTTTAAAGACTTGATAAGTTATGGTCCTGTGTGTTCTTTGTGACTATTTATCCACCTGGGGCTGGATACAGCTCAGTGGTGGAGAGCTTGCCTAGCATGCACATGACCCTGGCTTCCTCTCCGGCACCTCAGAAAGAAAAAAGAAAAGAAAAGCTTATCAACCTGCGTGTTTGTTATCTGTATACTTTTCTGTGTGGATCTTATATTATTTGTATACATTGACACCCATGCTAGTAGTGTCATCACTAATTTTGGATTAAACATGATCATTAGCCTCCTCCCACCATTATTAAGCAGCAACTGCATAGTTTTTGTTAAGAGTTTAAGGTTGTGTTTTGCTTTTGTTTTTACCTCTGCATCCATCGTGACCCTTTCCTTCCTCCGGTCTCCATTTGATGGCTCGCACATCTCCTTCCCAGCCAGCATCTGGTGTGGCACCTGGAGCATCTAACAGGGAGACAGAACCAGCGTAGGCTGTGGAGTCCACTTCTGTTTTGTTTTGTAGGACTGAGGATAGAACCCATGGCCTCCTCACTGAGCTATGTCCCCGTCCCTTTTTTATTTATTTATTTTGAGACAGGGTCTCACTAAATTGCCCAGGCAGACCGCAAACTTGTGATCCTCCTGCCTCAGCCCCCCAGAGTGCTGGGGTCACACTGCCACAGTCAGCACACTTCTGGGTTTTTAGTGTAAATTCTGCACTGTTCTTGGCATTCCCTCTAAGTAAGGCAGTGGATGTGAAAGGCTGAGGGGACATCCAGCTGTGACAGAGATGTTTCCTTTGTCTCATCAGATTAAAAGCTTGCACTTTTGGGAGTGAGTGGCACGTAATGCATTGGTGCTGCTTCTGGGGGGTGCTGACTGGAACCTCGAATCTATGTCTGTGCACCTAGATTTCCCTTTCCATGGCCTCCCCATCTCTTGCAACTCTGATGTTTGTGAAGTGCGGTTCATAGTTATGTGGGATTCTTGGGGTTATGATTCCTCTGTAATAGCCCTCCGAGGTGACTTGAAATAGGGCTTGCAGTGGGTATGGAAATTCTAAAAAGGCCTTACCCAGGGCCAGGGATGTAGCTCAGTGGTTCCGCCGCCTGCCTTGCAAGCGGAACGTCCTGAGTTGGATCCCCAGTACCCAGTTTCTGCTGGACCCCTCGTTTGCACTGTCTGGACTGATGATCTTAATTGCTAAGTTAGAAGCCATGTTCTCTGCAGGAGACATCTTTTTATAAAGAGAAAATACTGAAGTGTATTTCACAGAGGGTCTCAGATTTTCCTCTGCCTCAGAGAACCCATCTGAAGAATTGGGTTTGTTATTAAAGCGCCACTAGTTTTAATCTTTTCATTCTTAAGGGACCTTTAGCACACTGCCTGACACCAGTAGCTGTCCAGTAGGATTTATCAAGTAAATGAAGAAATGAAGAACTTGCCAAAGATTTGTGCTCAGATTTTTCAAAATATTTTATCTAAAAACAACCAAAATGCCAGTACAGTACTTCTTTCAAACGCAGCCGTGCTAGTTTGGGAGCATGACTCTCTCTGCTAACTTTAGATGTCTAAAACCAAAGAGCCTCCTGTACTCCCAGGTGGGAGCTCTTGGAACACATACAACATTTGTGAAGCTATGGAGAAATAGCTGAGTAGAAGGAATCTATGCCAAGACTGAAACTCCTACGGCTTGTTGTACCTGAATAGACATCCATGTTACTGGATCGCTCTTACCTTTCAGTCGGTTCAGGATTACCCAGTAATGGCGTTCTGGGCTGTGGATGTCCCTGGACCACTGCAGCATGTCCTTTGCACGGACGTCAGTCAGGATGAAGTCTACAAACTTTCTCCTAAGCACGTAGTAAGCACTTCCAAAGTAAATGGTTAAGTTATGAGGGGGCTCATATTTGAATCTTTCATTTGGTGATGCATAGATACTTCCTGTAGGGCTGGACTCCGGGTGACTTTGGCTTGTCTTGAATTTAGTAGTTGATGGTTGCATTACTCCAGGAGTGATACTTTTATCATTCCATTTGCTTCTGATGTAGTGTATGATTTCTTTATTGGTTTTGATCGGAAAATCCTCCCTACAAAGATTAATGACATAGTTCCATTGAAATTTGGAGTGGACTAGGTCCTTCATACAGTTAATATCTACCTGTAGTCTTCTAAGGCCAGAGTAAGCCACTTTCTGTCTCTTTGATGAAATAAAGATGTTTTCAAAACAGCTAACCAGGCCTTTCACAGTGGTCTTGTACTTCTTTTGGGCCTTTTTGTCAACATGAATACAGTAAACGTTTTGAGGCACATAAATAGCTCTGAGAAGCTGCACGAACATGGCCAGCTCCTTCGGAGGAGTTATTATGTATGCCAAGGAAAAGTTGCCCTCTTCTACAGACAGGGGCCTGGTTATGAAGCGTAGCCGCTGGGACGTCCTGGAGCAGTTTCCTGGCTTGTGTAAATAAGCAAGCACTTTGGACCCATGAGGGTTTTTACAAAATTTTGCAATTTGAGAGGCTACCCCTTTTCCTTCAAATAAAGCTGAACACAGTTCATCGGGGTAAAAGCCGCACTCCACCACCGCTGGATGTGTGGGCTCCTCTTCTGGCTCCTCGGGAGTGAGATTCCTTACATAGAGAAAAATGAGGATGCAGATCACCGTGCACACGAGAAGTCCCGGATGTGTGGCCCGAAGCTGGCTCATGTTGTGAGCTCCACATGCATTCTTAGTACCGTACCTTGAAATTTCTTCCTTTAAGCTCTCTAAAAGAACAACAGAATTGACTTTAATGAAGCGTACTAAACTACGTGTATTTCAAATGCGTCATTTTACCAAGTTTTTCTTTGTTTGAGATGGCGTCTCACTGTGATGCCCAGGCTGGCCTTGAGGATCCTTCTCAGCCCCCCAGCTACCTGGGGCTACGGCCGCACAGCCATGCCTGGCTGTCCTGGGGTCCAGTTGTGTGTGTGTGCAGACACGGACCGGTCACCAGTCAGCAGGCTTCTTCCTCCCGCACAGAGCTTTCTTGTGCCCCTTTAACCTGTCCTTTCCTTCCCAACTCTAGGCAGTCACTGGTGTGCTTTCTGTCTCGCTGGATTAGTTTGCACATTCTGTAACTTTATATAAATGGAATCATACAGCATGTGTTTTTTCAGCCCTTGCTTTTTTCACTTGTGATTCTAAGATTCATCCTTGTCATTCCATTTGTCACCAGTTCTTTTTTATTACTGGATAATATTCCATGTTGTGGCTGTAAACAGTTTATTAGTTCATCTGTTGGTGGGCATTTAAGTTACTCTGGTTTAGACAGCATTGTATACACATCTGTGGGGACAGATATCAGAGAGTAAAATGTCTTGTCACGTGGCAGTGGATGTTACCAGCAGTGTAAAGTCATTCCTGAACTAACTGCCAAACTGCAGGGCACAGTGATGCATGCCTATACTCCCAGGAGGCCGAGGCAGGAGACCACCAGCAGTTCTAGGCCAGCATGGGCAATTTAGCAAGACCCTGTCACAAAATCAAATACAAAAAGATCTGGAGGGCTAGGGGTGTAGCTCAGTGGCACCGAGCCAGCCTTGAAAAGCGTAAGGTCCTGAGTTTGATCCTTGATACTGGAAAGAAGAAAATGATCTGGGGATCTAGCTCATTGGTAGAGTCCCCCTGGTTTCACACCCCAGTACTGGGAGAAACAAAGAAAAGAAGCTGAAGTGGTGGAGGCAGCAGTGTTTGAGAGTCCTGAATCGTGTGTGCTGTCAGTACTGGTGCGGTCACATAATAGCATTGTAACTATTGCCGTGAGTGTGTAGTGCCAAGTCCCTATGCTTTACCCACCTTGCCCTGGTGACTAATGATGTCGAGCATATTTTCATGTTATTCCCATGTATTTGTATTATACTGAGGCCAGATCTTTCCTTAAGGAAATGAGGGATTATATGATTATAAACTTGAATCTGTTGAAGTAAGTTTCTGAATTGTTTTTTAGAGAAGACTTAAGTGATTAAAAACAAGATATCTTGAGCTCTAGGTAGGTACCTGCAGAGGCATAACAGTAGCAAAAGGTAATCAGAAGTGTTTTAGTTAATATTGTCTGCAAGGATCATCCTTTGGAGTTTAGGTTGGGTAAATATCAAGCTTTATATTGTTAGGACTGTTTGATTGTTTGTTGAGGAATTGTGACTCTCAGTTTCCATAACAAACTGTGTCTTATTCCTGTTGCCTTTTTTTTTTTGGTACTGGGGATTAAACTCAGGACCTTGTGCTTGCGAGGCAGGTGAGCTACATCCCCAGCCCTCCTGTTGCCTATTATTTAAAAGCCTTTGTACTTTGGACTGGTGTTCATCTCAGATTGGTCATTGGTGGCCTACCTGTCCGCACCATCATTACAAGTGCTGCTTGGGTAAAGTACTGACAGCACAGCATTTGGAGTTAGCCTTGGATTGTTAAACTTTGGAACAATCAGAACTATTAATGTATGTTGATTGTGGATTTTTAAAAATGTATTTATTTTAGGACCGGGGATTTAGCTCAGTGGTTTCGCTGCCTGCTGTGTAAGCGCAAGGACCTGAGTTCGATCCCCGGTGCCAAAAAAAATAAATAAATAAATAAAATAAAATTATTTATTTTCATTGTATAGTTTTTTTCTGCTCAACATGCTTGCAGACTAAAAAGCAGCACAACCCAAAGTATGTTTTATGCTCTTTCAGTAAATGTTCATTGATTGCACTAAACATCAAACTTTATGGCCTACTTTTAAAATTATACAGCATTATTAAATGTAAATATAAAAATCTCATTATAGTGCCAGGGATTTAGCTCAGTGGCACTGCACCTGCCTCACAAGCACAAGGTCGTGAGTTGATCCCCAGTACCAAAAAAAAAAATCTCATTATAATAAGTCTCTAAAGAATTTAAATCATAAAAATAGACATTGCATGGGAAGGAGACTCCTGAAAATGAAAGTAAAGCTTTTTAGGACCTTTGGTATAAAGGCAGCTGTAGTCCTTTCCATCTTTTCCTGTATTGTGGCTTTAGTGCAGGAAGCAAGGTTTGGGGCTTTTGTTTGTGTTGCAGAATCTGTAAGCCCCTCTGCACTGACCGAATACACCTGTATAAACCTCGCCCAGCGTCAGAGCCCAGAGGATTGGGTTTTTTCAGTGGTTTTTATAATTAAATGAGGACAAGTCCCAGGGGTGGCCATTGTCCTTCAGGTAATACCCAGGTTCAGCATAGAGCAGGGTGAGGGTGGATCAGGTACTCAGCACCATTTTCACATTGCCACCGAGCCTGGCCCCGGCTCACTGGGACATTAGGTGCCTGTCAGATGCTGTGTTGAGTGGCCATTGCAGCTCAGGCGTGGTCGGGACAGACCTCGAAAAGGAAGTCTTTGGAGACCTCCCTGCTTTTGAGTATAAATAGTTCTTGCTGTTGCTTTAACACCATATCCAGTGGATGTGAAAATTCCCAGACTAGTGCTCTTCAGGGCCTGGCAGGCTTTCCTTTTATACCAGCCGTGAGCTCCGTTTTCAGTTTTGTACGCATCTGGTGATTGTTGATTAGTTGTTTGGTTCCTATGTTGCAGTCAGTTATTTAGCCGTAAGGAAAGCTGTATTTATCACGTGACTTTCTATCACTAATTTGCAAGAAACGTAGGTGGTATCTTCCAAGTGTAAGAAATATGTACTCCGAAAACAGTCTTCGTGATGTTTAACCATTTTTCCCCATAAAAGTTACGTCCGAAGTCTGTACTGACTTAAAGGCTTTAGGAGGAGTAGCCGCACTAAGCAGGGTAGGGCCTGGTCTGTACTCGGATAGGAGAGAGTGACCCTTACCCGTGTGTGTGGCAGGTGCGCCTTTTCTCTGTGCCACCAGATGACGGTGCTGTCCCTAGACCCCGTCCTGAGGTGACTGCACCACAGATACCTCCTCAGAGTGGGGGTGGAAGAGAGCACGGTGAAGCTCTGTCCAGACCCCTTGTCCCTCTCCTAGGCCGCGTGTGTACTTTAATAATTGCTGGTCTTCCGTATCCGCAGCCTTTGAAGGCTGGCGTTAAACTGCGTGTAGTGCACAGCGGGGCCAAATGGCTTCCACATAGGGAAAACTGTTGAGAGTGAGGGGGACTCGGTGGCGTCCGCTCTCGTGGTGACCGACTCTGCCTCTCTCTTGCCCGCTGCAGTGCGGGGCTGCCTTCCAGGAGGATGACGTCATCGTGCTCAATGGCACCAAGGAGGACGTGGAGACGCTGAGGACGAGGATGGAGGCACGGCGGCTGAGGGCGAAGCAGGTGAAGGTAACGGAGAGGCGGAGCTTCCGCCCTCAACTCAGCCTTGGTTCCCAGCCTCGTGGTCGGTGCAGCTCCTGGGGACGCCACACCCAGGAGCACAGAGCTCAGCGAGCCCTGGGGAAAGGCAGCGACCATGGCTGTCGCTGTCACTTATTTGAAAAGAGCATGTGCTCGGTTTCCGTGACTAGTCAGCCAAGCAGTGGAAAGTCACCGCCACCCCAGCACATCCGTGGGTCCCATGTCCCCAAATTTGGACGTGTGCAGGAGTCCCCTGCAGTCCGCGTTCCAGCAGGCCTGGGGGCCGGGAGCCCACTCTTCTTTCCCTCCCCGGGGCATGGGGTGCAGCCCTGAGGACGCGGGCAACTCTTGGGGGGTGGGGGTGTCTGTCCGGGGAGGAGCTCCGCCCCCAGGAGGAAACCCCGCCCAAGCTTGGGTGCCTCAGGTGCGCCGCCATAGGGCCGCCATAGGACCGCTGTAGGGCTGTGTGTCCTGGTCCTGGCTTTGGCACCCTGCGGTTTGTCAGTTAAGAGATCATTCGGGGGCGCCTAGTGTTTGTGAGGTCCCGGGTTTCAGCCTCAGTGCCACCAAAAGAACAAAACGGCCATCAGTTCTGGGTCCAGCAGTACATTTTATGAATTATGATTTATTAAGTAGGAACAGATGTTAGCTGTGTATTGCGGGTCTTTTGTGAGTGGTAAGATTCTTTTTTATTTATAGAAAAGTTAGGCCCAGGGTAAACTTGAGAGAAAACTTAATGTGATCAGAACTAAAGCAGAATAATGCTGGGTCTGTTAGAAAAATCAGTGTAGTACCCTGGACATAAACTTTTGGGGGGAAGTGCCCTTAAAATGTGTCTGCATCCACTAGTTTTCTAGGAGAGAGTGATAAGATAGTGAGTTTTTTTCAGAGCTTTGTTTTTTGCTTTTTGTGTTTCTTTGGTCACAGAAGAAATTATAGGGCCTGTATCACCTTGGAACAATGTATTTGTGGTCATGAGACCTAGAAGCTGCTGCTGGAGCACATGCAGCATTGCTACTGGGCCCGGGCTCAGAATCGTCAGAAAGAGCCAGGGCCAGCAGCTTTCGCTCCTTTTATTGTTTACTTAAGTAGAAAGTAATGCATATAAACTTCTGGAGCACAGAGTTGTGCCCAAACGTTGAGACCAAATACAAATAGAAATATTCTGTGCTGCTATTTAAGTTAATACAGCATTAATGAGAAATATTACAGAGCCATCTAGTCCTTTAGTGCTTCATGAAGGTTAAAAATCAAATATATATAAGTATTTAAATTCTAAGCTGGTTTCCTAAATTACTCTGACTTCAAGATCAGAGACGAGAGGAAAAACTAGAGCTGTGACAAAGGACAGTTCCCATTTGTTTTCACTGTTGCCATTGATTAGTTTTTAGAAACAAACACACAAAAGGGAGAAATCATATTTTAAAGGAAGCTACTAGAGATTGTCAGGTAGTTCTTTTCACTATCCTGTTTTAGTGCATTTCTGTCACAGGCTTCCTGCCAGGTTGTCAAAGCCCAGAGGAACTAGCATGCCCCTCCTCTGCACAGTGCGCACCTGAGCTCCTGGAAGCCTCGTAGCTACTGCTGCCAAGATACAAAATATTTCCCAAATACGCCCACAGCTGGAGACGGCCCCGCTTCCTCTCTGCCTGTTTACCGCTCTTACTTTTCAAATAACGCAGCTGCAGAAGGAAGACTTAGAGATGAATAGTTGTCTGTTTTTTGAGTGTTGACCTTCACAAATTCGCGTGCGCGCATTATTACATGGGTGAAGTAGTTTTTGTTTTGTTCAATACCTTTAAGTCACATTGCAAGTATTGCCCGACAAAGGTCCTGCGAGGTTGCCTAGGGGTAGGGGCCTTCTGAAATAAAAACACTCTGTGGCATTAGCGCCACCGATTGGATACCTAGGAAAGTGACATTTTAAAGTAATTTGAGTGAACATTGTCCCGTTGGTAATTTCTGCACTTGAATCAGTGCGAACACAGCTGTGTAATTTTAGAATGGCTAATTCACTTGTTACTTACCAAAATAACGATTATGAGTAACAAAATTCTAGTGCCTGAAAATCTGAGTAATCCAGATTTGAGGAGAATAACTCAGATGTTCCTTAGTATAAGTCTCCAGGCCTTAGAATTAAATAAACAAGTACAAAAGCAGTCTGATGACGGAAAAGGAGGTACCAGAATGGGTAAGACTTGGGGTGCATCCCACCACCTGGGCTTGCCTTGTGGTGTGCATTTTTCACCTCACCGCTGTTGAGTGATGGTGGGAGTAACATTGACTTTTCTCAGTGAAGTCTGTCATCCTCGCTTCACACCCTGAAGAATGTGATTGGGAGTGGAGATACAGAGCAAGCGGGTCCCACAGACGCCCGCGTGTGTGGCCCACGTGCGGTGGGGGGGGGGGGGGGGGGGGGGGGGGGGGCCGGGCTGACAGACGCCGGGGCCCCTGCCGAGCGAGACCGCGCGACACAGCCTCCAGCCCGCTCTCCTCACAGAAACCCAGGAAGCCCAAGGCAGCGGAGTCGGCTTCCAAAGCGGACAGCAGTGAAGGTGAGGCGCGACAGAGGTCGGTGCTCGCATTGTGCGGCCGGGCTGCGTCCTGAACGCACGCTTCGGTGCAGCGGCGCCTTCCGCTTTGCTGACCTTGACTTTTGCAGCCTTGCTTGCGCCGTCGGAAGCAAAGAGCGGCAAGCCCGGGGAAGCCGGCCCCGAGCCCCAGGAGAAGAGGGGCGCCGCGGGCCCCCGGAGCGCAGGTGGGCCCTCGGGGCAGGGACCGGGCGGGGGTGGGGACGGGACCGAGCAGTCGTGCTGGAGCACTGCCTGGCACGTGTGAGCTTTGCTCCCAGGACTGCAGGACAGGGAGAGCACAGGTAGTATCTGGAACGATCTTTAGGCCAGCTTGAAAGGTTTCTGGCTTTTTCCGGCAGCAAACGGGGCCTCTTCCGGGAAGGCGGGGAAGCCGGGCGGGCCCCCGAAGAGGTCCATCGCAGACAGCGAGGAATCCGAAACCTACAAGTCCCTCTTCACCACGCACAGCTCCGCCAAGCGCTCAAAGGAGGAGTCTGCGCACTGGGTCACGCACACGTCCTACTGCTTCTGAGCGGCCCCGCCCCCGTGTTATAAACGCCCCACCCCCCACCCCCGCTGTATGGTCGTTCGATGCAGAGCCAGGGGTCTGGGTCGGGTCCTGGAGGACGTGGGGCGGGCCGCTTGCATAGCCGGGTGGGATGGTCTTGCTGCTCATAGCGCTCAAGACTCCGGGCTCCCCAGGTGTGCGCAGCCCATGTGGGCTGAAATCACAGTGGCTTTGCTGCCTTCAGTCAGCCCAGCAGCGAGGAGACAGCCTGGGGATGTGTTTCTGATACCAGGCATCTCGCCCACCACAGCCCGGGGTGGGGGGTGGGGGGCTGGGGCATGTCCTCTGCTAAGGGTTGGGGGTGTCCTGTCATTTTGAACAGAGTAGGGATCAGCTAATACGATACAAAATAAAGCTCGTTTGCCTTTTCTCTCATCTGTCTGCGCTTTTCTTCTCTCCCTTCACATGATGTTTTGCCAAGAAAATTGCAGACTTGCTGTGGGTGTGGTGGCGCACAACTGCAATCCCAGCCCTTAGGAGGCTGAGGCAGGAGAATCTATGAATTTGAGGCCAGCCTGGGCTACATAGTGAGACCCTGTCTCAAAAACTGCAGCATTGAATCGCTGGTGATAGCAGTGATTCCATGAAGTCATGGGGATCCCACTTTTCTCCGTCAGCAGAAGGTCCAGGGGGGAATTGAGCTGAAATTGCCACATTTTATGTATCTTTAATGTGTGTGAAGTCACTGATCATCGAAACTTCCACAGGGCTGCTTGTGAAGTGCGAGCGCGTCCGGGCCTCAGCACTGTCTCGAGGGCCTTGTGTAGGGAGAGGCCCCCAGGAGGGTGAGGGCGGCAGCGCCGGGCCGCTTCCCACCTGTCTGCTGCGGGGTTCAGCGCTTCCGTGCGTGACCACGGCTCTTCCTCGGCCACACTCAGTGAGTTTCTGAAATGGACCTTTTCAGAGTAAACCAGAATTAGCCGTTTACCTGCCGGGCCAACATTCTGACCGCCCAGTGAAACCATTTTTGAGGGTTTTTCTTTTACTTATTTTTATAACAATTTTATTTTTAATTTGGCTAAAATTGTTACAGCAACCCACCATTCTTTTCACTTTGCAAAGAAAACTTGATCTCCTTTTAGTCAAATATTAGTTTTGCCATTACATTTTTATTTTGATTTCTTAATTTTAGCTTTAATGAGTCAATTTTATTTTCCACTGATTTTTTTTTTGGTATGGGGGATGGAACTCGGGTCCTTGCGCTTTCGAGGCAGGCGGCGGAACCACTGAGCTAAATCCCCGGCCCTGCACTGATTATTTTTGGGGATTTTTTGGGTTGGTTTGGTTTTTTAAGACAGGGTCTCCCTATGTAGTTCAGGCTGGCCTTGAACTCAGTGCGATCCTCCTGCCTCAGGCTCCCAAGTGCTGTGTTCACAGCCCTGTGCCACCGTGCCCGGCTGCACCCAGCTCTCGCCGACGCAGTCAGTGTCACCAGCCTCAAAGCTTGAGGCGCTCAGAGCGTCCGGCCTCTGCAGATAGCGACTGCGCAGCCTCAGGGCCCTTCCGCCCCTGGCCCGGGGTCGCCCGGAAGGGTTGGAGGAAGGCTGTACTCGGAGGCTCCGGGCCTCTCCCACTTGGCAGAGGCGCCGCCCTGTCAGCCAGCACAGCTGGGCCGCTGTCCGGCTGTGTTCCCCACAGGCTGCCGGGTCCGCCCCTGGGTGCACCCACGTCGGAGGCTGGAGCCGGCCTGCTCTCAGGCTGCCCCAGGAGCCGGGTCCACCCCGGCCCCGGCCCGGGTCGGACCCCTAGGCGGCCGGAGGGCCTGGGCAGAAGCCCGGGTCCCTCCCAGGGCACGGCCCGCTCTCCCCGCTTCCAGCAGGAGAAGCAGCCTGGCGCAGTGAGATTCCTGTGGCCACGCCCAGGCGCTTCCACAGTGAAAAGCCTGTGGCGACTCCCAGGCGGCCCTGCTGTGGGTCACCGATGTGAATCGAGTCTGTTTGCTGTCTGGCATCACTTCGCGGGCCACGATGATCAAGGGAGAGGGCGGGACAAACCCCCAGACGGGATACGGGAGGACCCACCACAGCCGTGGACAGTGCAGCCAGTGGCTTCCCAGAGGGGCTTCCCAGGCAGCGGCCGCGGGCGGGCCGGGCCGCGTGTTCCGGTTGATCCATTGGCCTGGCCTGAGGGGCCGCTCAGGGACAGCTGCGCCCCCGCAAGGCGTGCGCGTCCCCTTTGGGTTTCACGGGCTCTCAAGTTCTCTCGCGGCACAGCGCCGCACAGGTGGAGGCTGAGAGCCCCAGCTGGGAGCAGCTCGCCGGGACACGCGTGCGGGGGCCCCCGAGCCCACGGACCGCTTCTGCAGAGGCATTTGCAGGCGCGCTGCGAAGGCCTGGCCGAGTCCCTGACGCGGTCCTGCGGCTGCTGTCACCTCTTCCTCTCCAGTCTTCCTGCGAGGCCAGACTGGGAGCGGCCCTTCTGTTCGCTAGTGCTGTCCCTGTCGCTGGACTGATGTGTTTAGCAGTACGGGGATTGAACCCCAGGGCCCCCACACAGCGAGGTCCTCAGCCCCGGTTCAGACTCTACTGCGAGCCCGGCTCTCGCTAAGCCGCCAAGTGGCCCGCGCTGGGCTCAAACCCGAGACCCTCCTGTCCCAGTCAGTTCCCGGGGGCGCAGGGCAGAAAGGGGTGGCGGGGGCGCTGGGCAGCGGAAGCCCGGTAAGGAAGCCAAACATGAGGTCTCTGCATGAGGTCGCGAGTCGTCACGGCGGACAGTGCGGGCCGTGGGGAGGGCTCGGGCTCCCACTTGGTGGCCGTGGGCGCTCAGCCCCCGGGCAGTAGTCTCCTGCCCCCCAGTGTCGGTCCACCGGGAAAACCGACAGCGCTGCGGCCTCGGGGCGCGGCCAGGAGGTCCCCTGCCTCCCCTTCGAAGCCGAACTGGAACCAGCCTCCCCTCCAGGCGTCACAATGGCCTGGCCCCCAGGGGCCGCTCTGTGACATCACCAGCTGCGGAGCGGTTGGGCGGGCGGCAGTGCCACTTTGCCACTTTGTGCACTGACTATTCAGCATGGGGTTGCTCAGTGAGCTGCTGGTGTTTTCCCTGTTCCTCTGCTGCGGGGAGTCCTTCATGTTCTTTCTTTGGGAGAAAGCCAAGGAGCCCCTGGAGAAGGCGCCGTGCGGGGTGCCGCGCGGGAAGCACACCCGGGTTCGGCTCAACTGCCCAGCACATGCTCAGGGCTGGCTGGGATACAAATGTCTCTGGCTCCTTTTTGTTTTTGTTCTGTATGTGACACTGAAGTTTTGGGTGCATAGTAAGAATAAGACTAAGGTAAGGATGGCTCGCTCGCTCTCTCTCTCTCTCTCTCTCTCTCTCTCTCTCTCTCTGTCTCTCTCTCTCATTTTGAGACAGGCTCTCACCAAAGTCACTAACTTGTCCAGGCTGGAACTTTTGATCCTCCTGCCTCAGCCTCCCAGAGTTCTAGGATTTCAGGCATGCACCACCACACCTGGCAGAATGGCTCCATTTTCGCACCACATCAATTCAGTAACAAATCTCAGACCCAGAGAAACATGGGTTTTAGTTAGGAGAGGCAGGACTTCTAGATGTCACGAATTTAAAGAGAAAGTACCTGCCTCATAGGAAAATGTGGCGGATGAACTTCCTGACATGTCCTTAGTGAAGAAGACATTGTATCACTAAGTCTCCGAATCCACGGAAGTTGGAGCAAATAGCTGTTTATTGGCTCAGTTTTTTCCTGGGGTGTGAATTTCTTCAAATTGAGGATTGATTCGGGAATTTAAAGTGTGTTTCAGGTCAAAACTGTTCACAGAGCCAAAGTCACTGTGCCCTGATTTTTTAAATTTCACTGTTTGATTTAATACAAATTCCTGAACTTCATGGAAAAGTTATCAGTATCTTAAGTAAAGGAAATAGAAGGCCTGTACCAAAGGGACAAAGGCGGAAGGCAGTAACTGCTGGTCCCCAAGGTAACTCCACAGCCCTTTTGGGTAGGAAGGAAGGGGGAAGAGAAATCTGGTGGCCCTGTGTTCTCTTCTGGTCAGATCTAGCACTTCATGACACTGTGTCCAGAGTGACAGCGGAAATTGGCAAACTTCTCTAACGGGCCAGAGAGTAAACAGTGCCAGCATCATGGGCCATGTGACCTCTGTGGCATCTGCTCTCAGCTCCGCCCTTACAGCCTGAAAGCAGCCATAGATAGTATGCAAATGAGTGAGCATGGCTGTGTGCCAGTAAAACTTTATTTACAAAACCAGGTGTGGACAGATTTTGCCAGTTTGCAATCCCTGGACAAAAGCAATGTTAGAGCTAGGGCCGGAGATTTAACTTAGTGGCACTGCACCTGCCTCTCAAGTGCAAGGTCCTGAGTTCCATCCCCAGTACCAAAACAAAAAAAGCAATGATAGGGCCATGATCGAAACTTAGATGAACTTACCTTTCTCAGGACTGTCAAAACCAGCAAGGGCAATGGAATTATTCACGCTGAATATGTTTCTTGACAGGAGCAGAATCCTCTTGGCCTTCAAGGCTATCCATTTCGCTCCCTATGTAAGAAAAATCAACATGCCTCCCCAAGCCAAGACTGTGCATTTACTACCTCAACCCATCCTGAGATGGACCTTATGAAGTTGGTAGCCAAAGTACGGAATCTTAAAGCTGCCATGACACCCCGCAGTAACCTCAGACTGAATAACCCGGACTTCCCCATGGACCCACAGAATTGCGTTGTGCTATATGACGTATGGGGAGAAAATGCTGAATGAATGGATCTGCGTGTCAAAGTAGGAGGGAAAAGGGTTGAGCATTGGCAGACAATATCCACACTAATAAAACTATTCTGAAGAAACAATCCCCGCATGTGAGATCTTTCTCCTCCTCACCTTTTAACTAGAAGGAAAAATGAAGGTGAGGCTATAGCACAGCGAGAGCGCTGAAGGTTTTGTCTTTGGCTTTCTTTCTTTCTCGGGAGCTGTGGGTGGTAAGGGGACTGAAAATGTCAGTCGGGCCCAGTGACATTCTTGACCATGACGCGGTGGCCCCTGGGGATGACAGGGCTGTGGCAATCTGGAGGGAACATGCTCGTATCATGTTCATAGAAACTGTTGTTTCCTCCTTTATGGTATCTGATTTGTGCAAAGTAGGGAACAAATGCCTAATAACTGAAGAATCCCAAAGGACAGCTTTATGAATTTCACACGATTCAAGCTGGGCATGGTAGCGCAGGCCTGTAATCTGGCACCTGGGAGGCAGAGGCAGGAAGATCACTGTGAGTTCGAGGCCAGCCGGGGCTACATAGCAGGGCCCTGCCTCAACAAATGAATAAATGAGACAATCCCATTAGGAAGGATATGTTCTTCCACCCGAAAAGTCCCTTTACTTATTCCATCCTGTGAATTCTGGGTAGTAACTTTTTCTTTTACAAAAGTAGCACTTACAGCCTAGAGCTGGATTAAGGAAACAGAAGCAGGGGTGGGATAGAGATGAGCTCCCCAGGACTCCCAAGTTTGTGGGTTAGTTCTTCATGGCACTTAGGTAAAGAACGGATAGCCTGGCGTGGTAGGATGGCTACTTACCCTGCCTGCAAGCTCATGTTCTCCCATCAGAGCCAACCTGAGGCTTTAAGGGAACCAGAGGCAGAGGTTAGTGGGGTTGGCAGAAGCCCCCATCTGTGCGCCTGGCCGAGAGTCCCTTCCGGGTGTTTGAGCAAAGCCGAGGGCGGAAGCTGCCTCGCTCTTCAGCCCTGGTCAGCGTCACACTTTGCAAAAGGTCCTTGAGCACTCATTTTGGCTTCACTCTAGCTTTCAGGACGGAAAATAAGGAAGGGGCCAAGGTTACTCCTGCTTGCCTCTTGCATTCTTCACGAGCAAGCAGGGTGTCTGTCACTTGTGCGTGCGTGTGCACAGCTGTGATCTAGCACGGGGCCAGTGTCCGATTTTCTTCCACTTACCCAGTGGACACTTAGACCAGCGCTTGGCAAACGATGCCTCGGGGGCCGATTGGAGCCTGCAGTCCGTCTGGTGTGGCCCGTGAGTTCGTGATGGCTTGTATTGCAAATGGCTGAAAAAAATCAAAAGATGCATAAAATTTAGGGACATGAAATTCTAATTTCAGTGCCCACTGACTCACGTATCGTCCTCTGTGCCGCCGTGGCACGAGGCGCTAACTGCCCCTCTGCAGGAAGCTGGTGGAGCCCAGTCTGTGAATCGGTGACGGGCGCTGGCCTCGGGAGCCCAAAGGCTGTGGTCACTTTCTGACAGCACTGCGTGCGAAGGCGCCCCCTGGTGGCCCTGAGGCGGAAGCCTCACGATTTGTGAGCCCGAGCGTCCTAAGGCCAAAACGTGAGCTGCCTTGCAGGGCCCAGGAGAGGCCCGGTTAGCCGCTCCGAGGAAAACAGGGCGGGCATCGCCTGCTCGGGAGCTGCTTCTCAGCCGGCGCAGAGGACAGAGCTGACAGGGCCCTGACCCGCGGCCCTGTGGACTCGGAGACAACAGATGTGTTGTCCGAAGCCTCAAGGCCCGTGGGGATTTGGTTTTGTTTTTGTGTTTGTTTTCTGTGTTGTTTTACTCATTTGAACCCCAGGCCTCCGAGTGCAGCGCGCCCCGCTTTAACCAGCCCCCCAGTGAGGCCCAGGCTGCTCAGCTCCAGCGCCTACCACCCAGGATGCAGTGGAGGGGCGCGCGGGTTTCTCGGGGACGTCCTCGCCTGCCCCCCCCCCCCCCCCCCGCCCGGCGCCCCTCCCCGCGCGCCCCACCTAAGGCCGCCACCCGCTTTGGCAGCTGGACGAGCCGACGCCTGGCCGGGGACAGCCCTGTTACAGCCTGCGTGAGATCTCTCCATTTCACCCATTCTAGGGTCCTTACCTAAGGCAACCTAAGGAAGCCCTCCTCTTGAGCTCCACATCCTTCCAGTCCATCAGGCCCAGTATCCTCATTCAAGCCATCCCAGGAACACCCATCCCAGACATTCCCAGGTCCAGGCAACACATATACTCCCTATGCTCTAGGTTTGCCAACTGCAACCAGTGTCACATTCCCCATCCCAGCTAACCCTTGGACCCTCTATATCTCAGGCGACCTCCCTCCAGCCCTCATGATGGGAAATCTCTGGGCTCCCATCCTAGCCAGTCCCTGGACCTTCCCCAGCCACCCGTGTCCCTCCAGTCTGAAGCTTAACCACATCCCAGACAGGCCCTGGAACTCTACCCCACCATACACACACACAACAGGCATCGCTGCTCCAGCCAGCCCCTAAACTCTCCATCATTCAAGCCAGATTCCCATCTCACGCAAGCCCGGGATTCCCCATCTTAGCCAGTCCCTGGATCCTCCAACCAAGGCAGTTCCAGGATCTTCCATCTCAACAAGCCCTGGGACTCCCCCATCACAGCCAAGCTTGAGATCTAAGCTCCATTCTTTCAACTCTCATTTCCTGCTCTCCTTTGGAAATGCTCTCTTCTTTCATTCCACCATCTACATTCAATGAAATTGTACCCATCCTTCAAGACTTAACTCAAATGCCACCTTACTGAAGCCAACTCTGATTTCCTTAGTGAGATGTGCTTGTTCTTAGGCACACTTCTTCCCCCCTCGACCTCCCTTGACTTCCCACTGCACTTCCTCTGCCCTGTCCCTCCTGGTGTTTTCAGGACAAGTGGAGCTTGGCTTTATGACACATTTGTTTATGTTCTTGTTTTTTTACTTTTTATATTTTTAATTGATAAAAATAACTCTCCCCCCAAATAAAATAACTCACATTGGTTAAGTTTTCAGCACTTTTATATGTTGATTGAAATGCAGTCATACCTCTTCTAGAGGAAGCACAATTTTGTAAGCCAGATCAAGAACTTTTTATTTTCCCCCATTAAGTTTGTTGGTACATTTTCGGTATACAATACAGTTACATTCATCATTGGGATCTTGTACCATTACATGAGTCTCTTGGTTCTTATTTTTTTTCCCCTTCCC